TGGGAAAAATAGCCTCACTTCCTGAGTTCATGAACTTTAAACATTTTGGGAAGACCATTTTAGTGGTAAATATACAGTTTTGGCTTTTTTGGGGGGCCATCCTCATAGTGCAAGTGAGTAGCACGCTCCTATATTCTTTTGGGTTCACTTCCCACGCAGGAAGTGAGTCTCTCAGCAGATGTTTTTCGCTTTTCGCCGGCCGCGTCGACGGCCTTTTGTGCGAATGCGAGGATCAGCACTTGCAGCTGCAGCAGCTCCTGGGCGAAACGGGTGGCGACTCTGAATGGCAGAAAGCAAGCAGTTCGGGGTCCAAAGCATGTTAAAGCTGAGAGGAAAACATTTGGACAATATTTGTCACTACTGGAAATTTGTTTTTTTTCTAGGGGTCTTAACCAAATGGAGGGTTCGGTGTCCACATGAATTTGGTGGTTGTTTGGTCAAAAGCTGAGAGGAAAGCCTTTTTTTTCTGGAACCCCGTGGTTCGCCCCCCCCAAACTCAATTTTGAGCTGTCGTTTAAACACTGTAAATCCTTGGCACCATGTGAAGACATACCATGGTCACTTTGGAAACTGGTAGAAGGCTCATTGCACGCTTTGTGTTGGGCAACATTCCTATGCTGACACATGCCCCTGCAGAAAGTTTTCACGAAATTTGTGCCAGTCGCTGGAAGGCTCAGGGCTGGAAGCTCCGAAAACCCAGCCGGGTGTTTGTTTTCCTTTTGCGGGTTTTCTGTGTGGGCCCTCGAGTTTTCCTTTTTGATCCGTAACACCAGGACCAAGATCTTGGGCTCCCCGAAAAAGACATGGGCGCGAGCGAGCCCAGTTTTGGTGGTCCATGGGGTTTCTTGGCCCCGGCCAGCCTCAAGCTGGCCATGGGTTTGGCTTCGAGGTACTGCGTGGAGCTGAAGGACGCCGCTCACGAGATCCAGGGCCTGGGTGCCAAGCGAATCGAGAGCAAGCCGTTGGGGGGGAAATGGATCGATCCAGCAATTTTGCAGGGCCATGCCAGGACGGCTGAAATGAATAGTTTAGTTTCGGTGCTTGAAGAAATACCCTTTTGGTTTTGAAGGGAATCTGTCACTGGACATGCATTTTGTTTTTTTTTCAGGCGAGAAAAAGCACATGGGGAGGGACCTGCTGTTCCAGCCCATATCGAGTCAAATAGGAGGGCCCAGGCAGCTATTCTTAGAAGTCTTTGGTTCGAGGCTCAAGGTTTCCGAGTGGCTCGCTGGCCGATTTTTTTTCGGAAAGCCCAAACCCCAAGGGGTGCAATTTTCTCTCGAGGCTTCCTGGAGACGGCGGAGAGGGAGAACCTGCAGCTGAGGCAGGAGGCCCAGGAGCTGCGGGAGCTCCTGGAAGTGCACCACATCAAGGCCCGAGCCGATGGGGCGATGGGCGCATCCGACTCCTTCCCTCGGACGGCATGGACTGTGTCCCTGAAGTTCCCCGGGAGAAATCTGGGCTTGAGCCCAAAGTGGATGTACTTGCTACATGGAAGTGGGCCAGGGGAGTCTTCCAGAGCTCTTCTGTCATCTTCAATGATTGTTGGCAATTGGCACGGCAACAGGAAACTATCGAGTTGAGGGGGGGTCCTCTTTTTGAACCAGTAGGAAACTGGCATGGACGGTCCGAAGCAGGGAGATTGATGGTCCGTCAACTTCAAAGCTTCGTGGTTGAACATCCGTTGCTTGCGGTCCAAGGGAGACACGAGGTGAAGCTGAAAAATGAAAGTGAACATGGTTGCCTTACTACTAGTTGCCTTTACTTGGCTACTTGGCCTTGCCATGTGACTTGTAACATTGTACAGAGGTTGTCCACAAAAGACATCGCATGTCCATGGGTTGCAGTTCCTGCTAGGCGATGAAGGGCAACGTGCAGGTGGACTTCGCAGAAGGCAGGGGGTCACAAATTGGTTCGGGACCGGAGATCCCAAAAAGGAAGCCGCGCGGCGAAGCGTCGCAGATCTGCGAGCGCCCCCCCTCGCTCGCAGAACGCAGAAAAAGCAATGCCCCGAGCCTTGCCCTGAGGCGAAAGCTTGGCGCAGGAGCTAGAAGACCTGGATGATCCTGAGGCCGAGGCGGGGAGCGTGGAAGATCAGGTCTTGGTTTTGGTTCGCACTTTCCTTCGGAGAGCGAACCTAAGCGAGTTGAGCTTTGACCCTGGACATCAACTTGAGATGTCCATGCGAAAGAAGAAGCAGAGTCGAGCTATGATTTTAGTTTGCCCTCGAGAGGAGATGTCCATGAATAAGACCAAGAGCGTCCAGATCTGCGAGGCGCGCCAATCTTTTGGGCCAAGAGGCGCGAAGCCCGTGAAGCGGCTCTAGCGGCTCACGGGCGCCAGGAGCCGAAGCCGCGCAGGAAGCCGGCGCTGCGGAGATCCAGCAGCCCCTGGACTCATGGAAAAAAAACATCCGAAGGGGCCGTTGGAGAAAAAGGGCCAAGGGAAGGTCAGGGTTTTCTCCGAAGTGCGCGACTGAAAGTTGGCCTGTCCGACGAATCGTTTTTTGAGAGAACGCTTGGCCTTGCCAGACCTTGGGGTTCTCCAGGCGGTTCGGAGCACGTGCTGAGAGAAAGTTGGCCTGAGGCAATGTGGCCGCGAGCAAGCTGGCGGCCTTGCAGGAGGAGTACGAAGAGAAGTTCGAGAGTCAGTGGCGTGGGTGGCATTTTGAGGCACACTGGATTTGCAGGTAGGTTGAACAAGTGGAAGGGTGTGTGCGTGTGTGGTGTGTGTGTGTGTGTGTGTGTGTCTCAGTTAGTGTTATCAGTGTGTTTGTGTGAATGTATGTTTGTGTGTGTGTGTCTCTGTGTGTGTGTGTGTGTTTGTGGGGTCTGTGTGTGGCTGTGTGTCTCTGTGTTTGTGTGTCTCTGTGCCGGTGTGACTCTGTGTTTGTGTGTGTCTCTTTGTGCTTGTGTCCCGGTGTGCTTGCGCGCTTTGGTGTGTGTGTGTGTGTGTGTGATTGTGTGTGTCTGTGTGCTTGTGTGTGTGTGTGGGCGCACTTGTGTGCACTTCTGAGCTTGTGTCTTGGCTTGGGGTGGTGGTTGCGTTCCCTTGCGGTCCGTTGTGTTGTGCGTGAGTAGCTGTGGCCTGTGGCTGCTTGTGGCTGTGGGGGTGGCGGCAAGGGCGGTGCGCTTTGCTCTTAGACTCTTGTTGCAGTTGCTGGCCCGGCCGTTGCGGATATCCCAAGGAGCCAGCAGCTGCAATCCGCCCTTCTCAACAAAGAGCGCCTTGAGCGAGAGAAGCAAGAGGCCTTTTGCGCTTGGCCGGTGCTAAAACCCCACTTAAGGCAGCAGATGAAGTTGGAGCGATAGTGGCAAACCTGTCGCAGGCCATCGAATCCCTGCAGAAGCAGATTGAAGAGCTCAAAGGCACCCTGACGGCAGCCCGCAAATTCTGTGGGGTGTCTAGATGTTTATTCCCACGATTTGCCTGCCATACGAGCCAGTTTTGGAAACCCATTTTTTGTTTAGACCCCGGCCGGAGATGCTCAAGTAGTTGCCTGACCCACAACCAGCCAAACAGAGCTAAGGAAAGCTCCCGTCAGAGAGTGGAGGAGAGGCCCTAGCCGGGCTGTTCAAGATGATGTCCAAAATCAAGGACGGGCTTCCCCCAGTGCCACCACTGCGCTGTTCACTTTGCCGGGTTTCTGCATGTTGGGGTGATCACCTACTCCGGGAGAAAAGAATAACTTGTGTTCAGCTCCCCGGAACATTTGCTTGCCGGTGCTCAGTCGAGAACGTTCCGGTTGCCAGGAATCAGCCTAAAATGTGAAAATTGGAAAGCGCCAGTTTGATGTATTTTAAATCAGGGTCATTCCAGTTCTCGTTCCCTGTAATTCAGTAGAGAAGGACCTTCAGGGTGTCCCTTAAATTAAAGGACAACCACAAATACTTATGTTTCTGTCTCGGTCATTCCATGTCTCATGACCTGCCAGAAAATCCCCAAGTGCTCCCCGAAAGCCGGAAAACCGCAAGGGATTTGGATGTGTTAGGGTCATTCCCTGAGCGTCGATCACACTGATCTAAGGGTGGAAGTACATACCCCTTGTTCATACCCCTTTGCTTCCCTGGTTTCAAAGCCACTTTATAAGGGGAAAAAAAAAAACGCGTTTTGGGGAGAGGGGTCCGCAAGGGGTATGCAAAAGGGATATGTACAAGCACCCCTGGAACTGACCACGGCCCGTTCCTCTCAGGAGCTGACCACGGAGGCCTCGGACGCCGTGCTGCTGGGCTTTGCGCCGGCCGAGCCTCCGGCGGCGCTTCCGAAGGCGAAGGCGGAGCCCAAGGCGGAGGCGCTGAAGCCCCTTTGGCAACATCGGCGGGGCGGGCGGCACAGGTTCGGTTTCAGGGGTCCCTGATTTTACTCAAAGACAGAGAGAGAGAGAGAGAGAGAGAGAGTTTGTTGTTTGGCCTAAAGTGGCAAGTTTAGGGGGCTGCTTTGGTTTTGCTTTGGTTTAGTCCGAGGTTCAGCTCCGTGGCAGCTGCAAGTCGCTCAACTGCGGTTGCCAGCAGGAAAGGCGTTCTTTTCTTGGTGGTTCTCAGCCATCCCCCTGGGTGTTTGGAGGGTTTAGACCAGTTCAGCGGCGCTCGCCGAGGCGCCGTGAGGAATCGCTTGCAGAGGAGACAGCGGAAGACTGTGGCCGGGGATTCCATTGACGGCGATGGCGGATACCAGCCTTAGGTTGGACATGCCGCTTTCGAGCGCGAGAGAAAAACGCGAGGCTGTTGAACGGCTGAACGCTTGCCTTGTGAGCTGTTTAACCATGTTGGGCAGATCTCGCCTTTGAGGAGCTGAGCTTCAACGTGACAAAAGACTTGCTGGTGCGATAGGGAATGACCAAGTCCGGGTGTCGGGAATGAAGGGGAAGGGAGGAAACCAATCCGAGCTTGATTTTCTTGGGGTCATTCCGATTCTCATTCCCTGCCTATCGAACCAGCAAAAGGACTTGCTAAATGCGCGTGCCGCTGGCTCGTTTGACGCGGCAGCGGCTCAGTCGAGAGGTTTCGCTGGAGAACCTGGAAGCGCTTCCAGGCACGGAAATCCACGGGTGCGGGGCTCAGATACTGTGGCAGAGGCATCCCTTTGCTTTTGGAGGTGAAATTCAGAGAGGATGCACATGCCATGGGTTCAGAATCTGGGGTTCTGTAGAAAAACCAGCAGGACTCGCTCAGTTTCCCATGCCAGACAAACCATTTGGTCCCTGGCTCAGCCTGTCTCATGTGGCGTGAGATGAGGCGCATCTCCTTCCGAGCGCCCCAATGGCCGGGTGGCACAGCAGCTCGCAGAATCTTTGGCTTTGCCACTTTTTGCCATTTTCCCTGGGAGAAGTGGTTGTGGCATTTGCCTTTCACTGCGCGGCGCCTGATTCAAAGCAGCCTCGGGCAGGCCGGTTTTCAGCGGCCTCAATATGACCTTAGGCTGCAAGGGATGTTTGGCACAACTTTCACATTCGTTTCAGGCCACCCAGGTTTTCATGTGACACGTATTTCAAGGGTGCAGAGGTATGTTGCGAGGAAGCCAGGTGCACCAGCAAATCTTGACTTGGTGGTTTAGGCTCCTGAGATTTGAGCCCCGAGCTGTTGGTGAAGCCAAGTCTTTGACGATTCAACCACCAGCACAGTTGAGCGATATGGGGGGGGTGGATCAATCTTCCATTTGGGGTTTTCCCCAATTGGCCATGGGCAACTTTTTCCATGGGACATGTCATCTCGTGGTTTTGCCCAACGGTCATCCCATGTCAAGGGCCTTTTGATCAACAAATCGTCAACCAGCATATTCGGTGGTCTCGCTTGCGTTTCTCCCGGATCACCCTCCATCCCTGCCGAGTGGCCGGAAAAATCAAATGCAAAGGCCAAGAAGAGTGGCTTGGATCACCAACCCCAATTATTATATATCCACAAATCCTTTTGGATTTCCTGGCGAGCAGCCTCTCAAGCACATCTCTCACGAAGTTCCTTTCTCGGCAGTATTAATTTGGGTAACCCAGCTTTGGTCATGGTTGTTGTTGGGAAACATTCTACAGTCTTGCTGATTGTGGTTGAGTGGTGGGAATCCAAATCCACTTAACTGCTAACATTCAAGTTTTTGCTCCCCTTCCAACGTCAGTGATACCCAAGGATCTTTTCAGCTTTGAATCCAAACCAAAGCAGAGAAGTCGGAGCTTCCTCGACCGGCCTCGACCGGCAGGCTGCCTTTCCCCGAGTCCAGGCAGGGCCGGTGGCTGGTGCCACGCGACTCTGCTGGGCACGCCGGAAAGCCCAAGGGCCCAAGCGTCGGGGTCGTGATTCTTGTGAGACCTTGTTTCTTTTCCCCATGTGATGAAGCAATCGTGTACTCCTCAGATCAACATGGAATCCAAAACATATCAGTTCTAGAGAGATCTTCATTTTGGGGGCCTTTCTTTTCCGGAAAAAATACGAGCTGCGTGACACGGAGTGGCACGTGTTATTTTTTGTGTATCACACCATGTGTCTTTTGATGCTTCCATTTGCTTAAGAACATGTTATGTGTTCCCTGCTGGTTTTTAGTTTGGCATCTATCGGCCAGTGCTTCCAGGCAAGCCACTGCAGGAGTTCCCCATGGCCCACCATAAATTTGGCTGGAAGCGCTGGGCGAAGTTATTTGCTTGCAAAGCCAGGTTTTGTCTTCTCTGGAGGAACCCTGTTTCAATAGATTTCATGGGAAAGATTTGTCCCGTTTGGAGACAACCCCAGACAAGGTTGCCATTTTTCTGATCATGAGTGTCGGGGAGGCAGGGTTCGAGTTAGAACCTTTTGTGTATACTGTAAAATCCATTTTGGGGAGCTCTATTCATTGTTTTTTCGGGGAGGGGGGTTGGAGGGGTTTGCAGGCACTCCTTTTGGGTGAGCTTAACAGGAAACCTGCATGGAAAGCCACTATTTTGGGGGATCCCCTAAAAGAAGACACAGCTTTTGAGCACAGTCCGCAGTTCTTCGTCCAACGCTCAGATGATTGCAGGGCGGGAGCAAGTTGGCACCCCTATACTTGTCCAGTTTGTGGTTGGGTTTCTTGCTTCATGTACCTGTTCGATCATACAGCATACATATCTAAAAAAGTGCATGTGTATTTTGTATGCACACATATATACTATGCATATTTATGTGTACACATGTTTGTCATATAAATACATATGCTGGGAACGGCGGTTCTGTTTGAACAGTTTACCCTTCAGGCCAAAATTCGCTGAGCCAAGGACAAAGTGTCGGACAACCCTGTTGAGGCCCCAAAAACGGCTGCACACCTCCCGAACTCCTCGAAGCCGAACGCCTTAGACAAACAAACCCCTCAGACAAGGCGATCAGTTGGGAACGCACAAACCCGACTCGGAAACTATTCGAGGGCCACTCGAAACTCGAAAGCCATCGGAACCCACTCAGGGGAAGTATTCTTAGGGAGTGTTTGCAGCTTGAATCTCGTTTCAATGCGCGGACGGCACTCCGGACAAGTTGCCGATTCTGTCCCGCACCTTGCAGGGCAGGTTCCGCCAGAAAGGCCGGGGTCTTTAGGGGCAAAGCACCGACAAATGCAATCCATTCTACACATTCACAACGAGGAATCAGTCTTTGCACCTGCTATTGGAGCTCTAAAACGGAGGCCAATGGAAGCGCTTTGATGTAAAACCAGGAGCTCTGTCAAGAATCCTGGCTACCTACCAAAGGTGGTATTCGAAAGCACTGGGTTTGTCTTGCTGGTGCTCAGTAGGGAATGAGGGAATGGCCCCTATGAACCATCCCCTATGGTTGCCTTCAAGGGAATCCCTGGGTTCATTCCCTCATTCCCTGTTGACCAGCAAGCCGGATTCAACCAACCTCCTTTTTAACATGGGGGTGGTTTTTCAGGGCTCCTTAAAGGATACATTTTGCCCATTTGAAACACGGCTGTTTCCCACCAAAACAACGGGCCACCTCCATTTAGAAGTGGCAACTTTCAGGTGCACAGTGCATCCGGATCCCTGCTTTTTGGCCCCTCCAAGAGTGGCCTTGAAACGTCCAAGGGCCCAAGTGTTTTGCTCAGGGCATGGGGGAAATCATCCCCTACAAGCAAACCACCTGTGGTTTCCTTGGGGATCGCCAGATTCATTGCCTCATTCCCTGACCAGCAAGCAAGGCTCACCATGCAATATAAAGGTGGTTTTTGGCCCCTCCAAACGCGCTTTCTTTGTAAGAACCCCCCACGACACCGGTTTTGGCCCCTCCAAGCGTGGTTTTGAAAACCCCTAAGAAGCCCGCAACATCCGGGAACAAGCAGACTCCCAAGTGTTTGTGCAGACGTAGGACATTCCACGCGTTGCCCAGGTGTCTTTAGCCTTGGTGGACCCAGCCACGGAGGAGGTGGAGATCGTGTGCGAGCAGCGCGCCCGGCGTCGCTTCTTCTTGTGGCTCCCCGAAACAGATATTTCGGTGGTCCGTTTGGTGTTCCCTTTAAAGGGCACCCAAAAAGGGAGGGTACCCGGAAAAAAGGACAGACCCATGCAGTTGGCCCATGAAAGAGCAACCGAAAAGGTACCCCTGTGTTCCCTGCGCGCATGAGGCCCACCAACATCAGCCAAAGGTAGCTCTTCTGGCAAAGGGATGTGAAAAGATTTGGTCCAAGTTGGAGTTCCCCAACTCGGACAACTCTTTTCCGGCCGCGGAGTCCCGAATTTCCAAAATGAATCGCATTGCTCGGATTACTTTACAAGACCCCCAAATTCAGCCGACGACAGTGAGATCTGTTCAGCCCACTTCCATTTGGGTGTAAATCGTTTTTTTGGGCCCCATGGATTTCGTTTTTCCTTTCGGTTTTCCCTTTAACCCCAACTCCAATCCGTTTTGGGGGAAACCGAATTTTGGGTTTGATTTTGTTTTTCTTTTTGGCTTTCCCGGTTTAAGAACTCCAACTCCAGGGGGCAGCGCCACGTCCAGACGTCCGAGGCATTTGCCTCCGGAGGCCCACTTTGCCGGCAGCTGCGGCTGGGTGGCGTGGCCCGGTGCCCTGGGGCCCGTGGATCGAAAAGGAAGGATGGTTTAGGGATGGTTTTGGGTTTAGGGTCGGAGGGGTTGCTTAGAGTTTGTTTGGAGTTGATTCTTGGTGGTTTAGGGATTTTTGAGTGCCGGTTTTGGCTTTGGGTTGGTTTAGGGTTGGTTCAGGATTGGCTGGGTTTAGGGCCGGTTTATGTTTTGTTGAAGGTTGGCTTAGGGTAGCTTCAGGGTGGGTTCGGGGTTGGCTTAGGGTTGGTTCAGGGTGGGGTGCCGAGAAAAACAGAAAGCCCAAGGCACGAAGTTATTCGGTCGACTGAGGAAGAAGTTCAACCCATCATTGGAACCCGGGACCCGAAGAGGCCCAGGAAAAGAATGTTCCGACAGAGAGCCCAAGAACAAGGTGTCGAAATGACCCGAATGCAAACTTCCGGGCGGGATCCGAGGCAAAGAGCGGCAGAATGAAGCGCCGGAGCGCATAGTTGGTTCTCCATTTTAGGATCCGGGGGCCCCTGCAGTTTTTGCAAGGTCTGCGACTGGTTTTAACTTCAATCACCACTAAAACCGAGGACACCCCCATTTTAATAAACAGGGGTGTATTTATCTGGGGTCAATCGTTGTTACCCTTTTCTGAGCCACGGTTGGAAAAAATCATCGATCACCTCCTTTGGGTGTCCCCTTTGAAAGGGGCCAGGGCCTCGTTTTTTTTCAACACGTTTTCCCTTTAAAGGGGACCAAGGCTTTCACAACCCTAGGGTTGATTTAATTTCCATTCTTTTCAACCATGTTTCTTTTCAACCGGAGGCTTCCCCTGTTTTTTTGTTTTTTTTTTCTCCCCCGGTTTCCTGAAAAGAAGGATCCCTGGGCTAGATCCATGGGCTCTCTGCGGCATGGCTGCCTCAAATCCCATTTAGCCTGCGTACCTGATTCTTTCAGGTTTTTGGAAAGAATGGAAATGGAAGGTACCCCCAGAATCGCAGCAGCCGTGCCGAGGTGTGGCCTGCATGACGACCGGGGCCACGGCGGAGTCTTTGCGCGGCGGGTCTGGCCATCGCTCGGCGGGGGTGCCCGAGAAACACGCGGCCAAGGGGTCCTTATCCGCCACAGGTTTGGCGGCTGGGTCTGGGACCAGTCAGTGGTGGGTGTGCCCAGTGACTTCCTCCGATTCTTCCCTTGCAAGCGGAGAATCCGGCAGCCCACACGCGGCCCGCATGTGTGGGGCATCCGCCAGTCGCCAGGCCCCCCGATGATGGTTTTCTCTCACCCCAACCGCGTGGAGGCGCCGTGCGGACGATGTGGGAGCCCGTTGGCCTGAGCGGCCCCAGCGTTCAAAGTCAGAAGGTCAAACTCATGCCAAGCAGCTTAGATATCCAAGTTCCATTTGGGTGTGGGTCAAAATTAAACCACCAGAAAACCACAGGTTTTACTCCTTGGTTCCATTTACCAGGGTTCCATTTTGGGTACCCGTTTTTGACCCTCAGTCATTTTGGTCGCGCCGCGCAAAGCAGTACAAACCCAAGAGTCACCAGGTCTCGGACACCCACCTGCCTGGAATCGGTCCAACCTGGAGGGGTCCATCGGTCCGAAAGCCAACGCCCATCTTCCCAGGGGCTTTTGGTGGTTTTCCAGAAGATTCGGACCCCTGGAACGAATGGACATGGAAGGTACCCCTAGAACACCCGGCCCTGCCACCTTTTGGCAGACCTACCGGCTTCCATTTGCTTATTTTTTCTTCCCCCGTGTTGGTTTTAAAGGGAATTATTCACTACTGGGACATATTTTCTCATTTTTCCCCGGGGGCTTAATTAAGCGAATGGAAGTGTTGCAGGTGAACCAGCTCAGCCACCCGGCTTTTGTTGCCCACTTGCGACTTGTTGGGTCCATGTTTTTTGTTTGGGTGGGTTTGCTTGCCTGGAGAAAAAAACCGGGCCGTTTTTTGGGTTGGTTTTCGGGCGCATTTCCACACGTCTTCGCGCGTTTCAACACGTCAGGGCATGACCTGGGGCGGGGAGCGCCTGGCGCTGGTGATCCACGCGCCCAACTGCTTGGTGTGGACGGCCGGGGATTCCTCGGGCGACGACTCGGGCGAATGGGTCGAGGGGTCGGTCGACGGTCTACGTGGAAGCTGAGGGAAGGAAACAGCAGGAGGTAAACACACAGCGCTTCTGCAGACGAGACATTCGATGGCACGAGAGAGAGAGAGAACACAACACGCACACACAGGCACGTGCGCACATATTTGTTAATATATATATATATATACAAACATATGTGAATCTATTTGGATGTGGATTAAAGAAATAAGCATACACACGCTCCCTCCAACAAGCATCAAGTGTCCAAGGTACGTCTTGCTTTTTTGAACTGTTAGGGCCGGCTCCAATCGGATCAAACTCCGCGGATGGGATGGTTCCAGCCGCCCGCCCGCGACAGGTTTGGGATGCCTTGGTGGCCGAGAAGGAAGGCACACGCCGGGCAGCCCAGAGCCGCGGAGCTATGCGGAGCTGAAGTGCCATTCCTTGCGCAAGGCTCGGAGGCGTAACTGGGGAGGTTGACCGGGACAAAAATGTATATATATATATATATATATGTGTGTGTGTGTGTTTATATATATATATATATATGTATTAAACAAATAGAAAACGCGCCCAAACATGTGCGAAACAATTGGAAGGGGCAAAGATGAAGTCTTTCGAGTCAACTGCAGCACATCACTGCTGCAAGCTCACTTAAAAAGATAACTTTCTGGGCCGATGTGTCAGCCATTAGCCCTGGGCCCGAGGTTTGTATGTGGCGCCTCATGGCTTCATCCCCAATCGCTCGTTTTCGGGGCGCGTGCGGAGCCCGGCGTCAGCTTGCGGATCGCTGGGGTTCAGCAACCGCCATTGAGACAATGGGGTTCATATGACCATCGTTTACCATCCAAATTGGGTCAGCCATTTTTAAATAGAGGTTGGACCCTAGGGCACGCGCTTCCCATCCAAATCGGGTCAACCATGCTTTTAATGGGGGTTGAACCCTAGAAAATGTGGGAGTCCTGGCAGTACCATCCTGTACAGCTTCTTTGGAACGGGTGTTGTGCGCTTCGTTCGGTTGTAAGGTCCTGCCGTTCTTCGACCAGTTCGAGCGGCGGTTGCGGTTCTGGAGCCCGAGCAACGACGCGGTGGTCTATGCCGACTGGAATTCTGAGGATCGAAACGCGAATGTGGACCCATGTGGACCCCAGATGAATTTCAACCAACCAGTTGATTAATAGGGGGGTGGTTTCTGGCGCATTTGCAATATCCTCAAATGAGCTGATGCCTTTGGTGGGTTCCGAGCTGTTCATTGACAAGAGTGGACGCTCTGAATCTTAACCAACCAGTTATTGAATAGGGGGTGGTTTCTGGCTCCTCCAGAAGTGGTATTCCCCACATGTCACCCAGAATCGGACTCCCCACCGGGGTTGATGAATACGGGGTCACCATTACAGAAGTTCGCCCACGTCGACTGTCCGCCTCTCGCAGGTTTGGGTGCAGCCGTTTCCTCGGCCCCAGCCTTGGGTTTGTCTCAAAACTCGGGTTTAATTCCACCCAGTCCAGCTACTTTCCAATGGGATTTTGGTGAAACGAACGGCCCGACCCAATCAAAGTCAACAAATGCCTCTTCTCAGGAACTGTACTTCATCGCCTCGGCCATTTATTGGTACTTTGGGGGCCTACTGCGTACCTGGAGCCTCCATGACCCTGCAAAAATGGGGTCAATGACCCCATTATTTGGTGTCATTCCACAACATCATGGGTTCTTTGACCCCATGTTGATCGGGTCACGGAGGCTCCGGGTCAAGGTTTTTTCCCCCCAAGCCAACGGACGCGCCCGCTGGAGCTGAGTGCCTCGCGGGCACGCGCTCAGGTCGATGGTGGACTCCCGGTCGCCGCACCCCTTGCAATCCCTGGCCGAGGGCTCGGCTTCGGGAGCGATTTTTCCCGTGGCACGGGGCCAGGTGATGCTCCGGGGGGGAAAAACCGTGGCGTGGTTGGGAGGATTGAAGGGGGAGAAGTTTGTGAATTTGGGAGAAGTTGCAAGTTGAAAGGTTGAAAGGGAGAGCTGTAGCTTTGGGAGAAGTGCAAGTTGAGAAGTTGAAAGGGAGACCAAGGGACGTCGGGACCTCCCCCTCCATTCTTGGGCTCAAAATTTTGGGTCCATGTCGGTTTCAGAGCCCATGTCAATGAAGAATCAAAAGCTCAGTTGCTCCCTGTCTCAGTCCAGCTGCCCGGGATGCGACCTCCTTCCCGAGGGTGGCGGTGATCGGATTCTGGTGGCTCCACAGCCTTTCAGGAGCTAGCGCCCAACCTTTGTTTCGGAGTTCAATGAAGTTGCCCGGAAATTTCTTGTGGTTGTCGTTGGGAAACACTTTACATTTTTGCTTGTTGTGGTTTAGTGGTTGAAATCCAAATCCCCTTAACCGCCAAGTTTTTTAAACTTTTGCTCCCCAAACCCAACGTCAACCAAGTTCCAGCTTGAGGGCCCAAGAAGCCGCCCGGCTTCGGGCTCCGGGCTTCCGGCCTCGCCTGGCCTCGGGCTTCGTCGGCTTGGTTTTTCTTGGGTGAGGGTGTATTCGAGCGCGGCTCAGATGTCACGCCGAGCTTGGGGATGTGCTAAAGGGGCAAATCTGCCATTTGCATGGGAGAAGGGTTTCAGCGGATGATCCGCGAATCAGACTTCAAAGGCAGATGTAGACATGAAAAACGGGGGTGTGGGCCCCCCTGAAGCCGTTGACTTGTTTGCCATTTTGGCTTGGGATGCTACGTGGACATCGATCAATGCAAATGCGCCAGGATCGCCCAGCGGGCCAGCTATGCTTGCTGGAGCCCACTCTGAGCCTGGAAAAAAAACAAAAACAAATCCGTGCGCCGCGTGCCCGTGGGGATTTTTTTTTGGTCCCTTTGGCCAGGACCTGAAAACCGCTAGAGGGCAAGTTTTGAGGGCCCGGGATTGGCACACGTCATGACTGTGGGTGCTTGCGAAATGCATTTCGCACCACCGAAGAGAAACCATGGTTGAAACCAACCGTTTGGTATTTATGTTGAGGAATCGAATCCTTCCACATTTTCTTAGGTGGTGCAAAAGGGATTTCGTCCATCCAGAGTAGTAAAGTTCGCTGTCGCAGCTGACCGGCTGGAGATGATAGCCGGATAGGTTTCTGGACATCCCAACAGTAGGCTGGGCGCTTGCCATGCTTCTTCTTGCTGTGCGATATGGGAATAAACCCAGGGATTCCCTTAAAGGCAGCCACCAGTTTTCGTCCATCCATGGTACGTCCCCATTCGGGCATAACCCACGAAGACTATTCTTGTTTGTTGGTCTCTGCCGCTTTGCAGGAAGGCGCAACGAAACCACCAGTTGGATGGATGGTTTTGTTGGGGTCCTTCCGATTCTCACTCCCTGCATCTATCGCACCGACCGCAATTCGCAAGTCTTCCCGAGAGTTGCGCTCAGACGGATGCGCAGGCTATGGCCCACCCTCCGCCCGGCTATGCCACGGTGAAGTCTGAATGGTCAGAATGCTGCGAGGCACAGCTAAAACCCCTGAAGCCGGGGGGGGGGGTGGACTTGTGGCAGGTAGGTGAGGGAAAGCTTGCCCGCACCTGCAGGTAGGCCTTTGCAAGCTGAAGCGCCTGCCGTTTTTGGTTGGGTACCCTGGTCAGGAAGCCAAGGCAAGTCAGCCCCTAAAACGGTGTTCTTTTTGGCCGGTGCCCACTTGTGACATTTTTTTCATCCAGAGGCTGCAGAGAGAGTAAGTTTCCATGGCAGATGTGGCAGTGAGCGAAAAGCTTTGAGGACCCGGATGCCGAGCAGGGCAGGTGGCAGTACGTGGGCAAGGGAAGGGGTGCCCCTTGGATGTTCAGCGCTATTTTCTCTGGTGGCTTGGGTGCCCTGAGGTTTCGCGTGGGACCTGACAGTCTGACATTGTGTCTGGTGGGAAGCTTTTGTTGCGTCGGCGTCTCATCCATCAGATTTCTCATCAGATTTCCCCGCGCCATTAGACCCAGCCTTTCGTCTGGTGCTACTTGAGTTCCGGCTTCACATGGGTGGGGCCGAAAAATTACAGAGCTAGGGTTAGGCAGGCCTAGTCTTTAGTTCCATTTGCCCAGGGTGCCATTGTGGGTTTCCATGCTTTCGAGCCACAGCCATACCAAGCCATATCCATCAAACTCTGGAGTGCCATTGTGGTACATGTTTTTGAGGTGCCGCCATCTCGTGCCGTATCCATCAAAATCTGGATTTCCCCCTCGGCATCCGAGGCGTTCGCCAAAGTGGACGACATCCAGTTCGTGGGCGCGGGTCTGGGTGAGTACGACGTGGCCGGGCCCAAGAAGTCAAGGCGGGAGCTGAGACGGTGAGACTTTTTTTTGGCGACTGTCTGTTTGGCTGTCTGCTGACTTTCACGGCACCAATAGTTATGGCTCTCGGACCTGGCAACCCAAGCTTGTTGGTCTAGAGAGGGATTGTACAGGTTGTCAATTGGGACCTGCGCATGGGGGAGCCTCCGAGCCTCGCTCCCTGAATTCATGGACTTGACACTTTTTTGGGCTTAAGACCATTTTAGTGGCGAACAACCAGTGTCGACTTTTTGTGGCCAGTCCACTCAGGAAGTGAGCTCCTTTTTCCCCAGAAGGACGGAGCACAGGGAAATGGCGCCCAGCTTCCACCCGCTTTTTTGGGGCTCTGGGCTCGCAGGTGGCTGTACTGGTTCGCCTGCCTGGGCTGCTTCCTGCTGCTCCTGGCCCTGGGGCTGGTCGCGATCTTCAGCCACCAGTCCAGAGCCCCCGGGCACTCGGAGATGCGCACCTCGGCCAATGGGGGGGGTTCAGCGCAACCGGGCTAGAAACGAGCCGCGCGACGCCGGAAACAAGCGGGCTGCTGTGGAAGCAGTGCTGATTGATGCCCTTGGCCTTCGCAATTCTCTTGGAAGGGCGAAGCCGCAAGCCAAAGATCCCCAAACTCAGCTTCCAAGTTCCCCTCAGGAGTTTTTGCCGTGAATCGAGTCCAATGGTGGGGCTTCCCACGCAAGTTCCGGTGTTTGACTCGCAGCTCAAGTTCCCATAGAAAAAGAAGGAGAGCAGCCCTAGCAACTCGCGGTACCGTTCCCATCCAAAAAGCAGCCCTGGCAATTCTGGTGACTGGCGCCAAGTGGCGGTACTAGTACCTGCCTTGGGCGGCGCTTTTCGGCGTTTCAGGCTACGACTGCTACCTGAGTGGCGGCATCTTGCCGCAGCCGGGCGCCCAGCTCCTGGAGACCTGGTCCACGCCCCACCGGATCTGGTGCTGCGACAATCTCGGCGTGGCCTGCGCCGAGAGCCGCTGGGGCAAAAATGGAGGGGCGGTGGGCGAGCTGTTCATCCATTTGCTGAAGAACATTTGTTTTTTTTTAATAGACAAAATCCCTTGCTGGTTTTTAAAGTGAATCGATTTCACTGCTGGAAATATTGTATTTTTCTCCAGGGGCTTAATTAAGCAAATGGAGCTGTGGTGAACCAGCTCAGCCACCAGACCTTTGTTGCCGCCTTGGGTCTGTGTTTTTTTGTTTGGGTAGGTTTTCCTATTGGCTTCCCTGGAAAGAGTGGTAGGCTTTCATTTTGGCTTCCCTGGAGAAGCGCAAACATGGGTGCTCAGTTTTGGCGCCAGTGCAACTTTTGAGGAAGGCGTATCTTTGTTTCCATGGCTTGAGCACCTCCACTGTCAAGCTTGAGATGGCTTGGGGGTTGAAAGTCCATGCCAGGGTTGCGCTTAGCATGCGGCAGACTCCCTTCTGATGCACATGTGCAAGGGGGTTGGTTGATTAGGGGCTCTCGCCGAAAGCCAACAAGGAGCCAGTGAAAGAGCCTGGCACAAGAATGTGTGAGATCAAGCCAGAGAGGGCGAGAGAGAGGTAGAGGGAGAGAGAGAGGGAGAGAGAGCGAGAGACACAGAGAAGGAGAGAGTGCGCGACAGCGAGAGGGGGAGAGAGAGCCTCCCAAATCCATTCTGCCAAAGGCACCACCAGCTCACCTATGCCGACCACGTGGATCATGGTGCCGGTGCCGAAGTTTGAGGATGCCTCTTGGCTGAGCCTGGGGGCCCTGGGGGCTGGGGCTTGGGCAAGGCTAAGAAGTTCCCTTTTGGTTTCAGGTGGGATGCTGGGATGGTCTGGGTACTGCGCCAGTGCTAACCCAAGGTACGGGTGAAGGGGCTACTTTGGCGCAAGCTTTGTTTTGGATGCGATTCGGCCGAGGCGATGATGGCACCTGGGCCGCTTGGTGAAGAGGGCGGATCCATTTCAGGGCAACACCACTTGAAAGGGGAAAACTGCTCTCGCGCTCAGAGACTGCAGGCTTGTACCCCCGATTGCGGGCGCGCCAGCTACGGCTCCCTTCGTGGCTTGGCGGCAGCCCGGCTCTCGTGCGGCAGGGCGCGGATGCGGTTCGGTCGCCAGGTGGCGACCTTCCATTGCCATGTGGGCATGCCTGATGGCTGGCCGCGTCTCGGAATGCACGTCTTGCCAATGTGTGGTGCGGCCGGAAACGCGCCAGTCAACATAGTGGGCCATGTGTGTTCCTTTTGCTAGAGGCCGAGGAAAACCGTGGAAACTCACCGCAAGTCGAAGGGAAGGCAACTGCGCGACTTCGCACAAGCCCCTCCTTTCAAAAACCGCGCCAAACAGACGGCGGGAATGGGAGTTTCGTGCGCCTCAGGCCCGCGCAGAAAGAGTTCTGCTGCCAGCACGTGAACATCGGCTGCGAAGCCCCACCTGCTCCACCTGTCCCGCCCGAGCCGGACTGCGCCGCTGGCTTGGATCGATGAGCAGATGTCGGCAGTGAGCGGGCGGTCAGACGGGAGCCTTGTGGGTGTGTCTCTTGTTGCGGGTGCCCGTTTTAATTAATGGGGAACCAGCCCCAATTCCAAGACAGACGCGTGATGTCCCTGCCTCTTTCTTTGCGACCCACCGGGCTAGCATGCATACGTACGCCGTACGCTGGCCGCCTTTCGTGCTGCCTTCGCCAGAAGGCCAAGATGCACAAAGCGCAAGATCACAAGTCGGCATTGGTCAGAAGTGGAGAAACTCAGAGCCAAGTTGCAAGCCGAGTCCCAGCCTTTCTCGCTTCGGTACCGGTCATGCAGTGCCCTGTTACCGTTTCTCTTTTGGTTGGGAGATTCGGTTCCCCTACTAAAATAGACTACAGAAAAAATTGAACTGGTGCCCTTATTCGAACCTCTCAAATCTGGAGGACCTAGGCATGGCTTCCTTGCGTAGCCTCGCGTTGGCATGCAGCCTGCTGCTGGGCTGCGGGGCTCCGATCCTCACCCTCCGCTCGGAGGAGGATTTCCTGCGCGCTTTGGAGGAGGACCCCTGGCTGCTCATCTAGGTCCCCCAGTCTGTAGTGCCCTTTTACCGTTCCTTTTTTTGGGGGAGGGCTACCCTACTAAAATAGACTACAGAGAAAAAGAGGGTACTCTTATTCTAAGCTCTCTACTGGAGGGCCTAGTTGTTCGGACTTTTTTTGACCAATTAGATCAAGCCTCCGGTTTTGAACGAGATTGAACTGGCCGGGTGCGAAATCAATGCGCTATGCCAAATGCTAGTGGTTTCCCCATTGGCAAGTCCATTCCCGCAGATGTTCCATCAGGGATGCTCGGCGGCTGCGTCTTTAAGGACTACAATGCAATGTGTGGTGTTTTTTTTCGTCGGAATTGGAGGGACACCCCCCATTCACGGTTGTTGTTGGGAAACAAATCACATGTTTGCTTTATTGTGGTTTAATCCAAATCCACTTAGCCGTTACAAATTCAAAACTGTTGCTCCCCTTCCAGCGTCAACCAAGCATTTTCAGAGCTCCGAGCCGAGGGCAGCGGCGCCGACGCCACGACTTTGGTGCGGCACTGCGTGTCCCGCAGCTGGTGGCGGGCCGCCCGGGCGCTGGTGGCGCGCGCGCACGGCGACGGGGCGGCGCTGGCGGCCGGGTGGGTCGCGGAAAGCCTGCGGCGCCCAAAACCCCCCGAAGGGTCCGTGGTATCTGGAGGTTTTCTGTTCACTGCCGGTGGTTTTACTGGTGGTTTTATTGGTTGCGGAAAGTTGGGAGATGCCAGCTGCACCTCAAAACCCTCCAAAGGACTGTTTTACTGGTGGTTCTACAAATTGCCTGGTTTCGTGGGAGTTGCAAAAGGCCAACACACACACACATATATATATATATATATGTATATATATATACAGCCATCTTAGTAGAGGCAAAAGTCAATGGGTGTTGGGCACTGATCACTTGGTCCTGTTGAAACGGGTGTCCTTTCAAATGCCATCCCTACCCTAATCACAGAGCATGGATGCTGCTTCAACATCGCAAAGCCGAACAGGGGGGTCTCCCAAAACAGGACAACGACCCCCTTGTCGATGGTTTTTTCATGGGAACGGAGCCAACGAGACGTACCAACATGTTTGTACATCAGCAACATGACACACGCATACACACACAGAGACACACACAGACACACACAGAGAAACACACACACAGAGACACACACACACACACAGGGACACACACACACAGAGACACACAGACACACAGACACACAGACACACAGACACACAGACACACACACAGACACACAGACACACAGACACACACACACAGACACACACACACACAGACACACACACACACAGACACAGACACACAGACACACACACACACAGACACTCACAGACACACAGAGACACAGAGACACAGAGACACAGACACACACACACAGACACACACACACACACACACACGCACAGACACACAGACGCACAGACACACAGACACGCAGACACACAGACACACAGACACACAAACACACAGACACACAGACGCACAGACACACAGACACGCAGACACACAGACACACAGACACACAAACACACAGACACACAGACACACAGACGCACAGACGCACAGACGCACAGACGCACAGACGCACAGACACACAGACGCACAGACGCACAGACGCACAGACCCACAGACGCACAGACGCACACACACACACACACAGACACACAGACACACAGACGCACACGTGCATATGTACATACATTAGGCGCATGCCTCACACACACACGCACACACCTACAAGAGTAAATCAATCATGGCACATATACATACAAATCAGACGAACCATGAATAGCTCAATGAATCAATGAGTCTGAACAAGGACACACCTCAAATCAAATAGTACAACATTGATCTCCACATTTGCTTTCTCCTCTCTTTTTTCTCGAGTTTAACACATCTAGGTCCCCCAGTAGTGCCCTTTCTCACTTTGTTTTATTTGGTTGTTGGGTTCCCCTACTAAAAGAAATCGACTACGGCAAAAAGTTGGTACCAACTTCTAACCTCTCAGATCTGGAGGACCTAGGAGTTGTTGCGGTCCCCTTCCTCCCCGGCCTTCGCTTTCGTCAGGCGCTGGGGCCGGCGGTGCGGGCGGCGGCTCTGGAGGTGAAGCAGCAGGCGGAGCAGCTGAGCGCCTTCGCGGAGGAGTCGGCCGAAATGGGACCCACTTCTGTGATAGAACGAAAAGACATCCAAGGTTTATTTAAAAAAAAACCCAAGGTTAAACAAAAGAGCTCTCCAAGGTTACAAAAAACGCCTTACCCAAAGACCAACCCCCTTTTTTAGTGTCCAAGGCAGGTGTCCAAACTTGGCCTTCCGGGTACTCGGCAAAGCAAGACCAACCCCCTTTATAAAGAGGGGATTCCCAAAAGTATCACAGAAGTGGTTGGAAAAAACCATGATCATGGTTGTTGTTGGGAAACATGTTTGCTTATTGTGGTTTAGTGGGAATTCCCCACTTCACTGCTAAAATTTGAGTTTTTGCCCCCCTTCCAACGTCAACCAAGTGATCAACCACAAGCCTGCAGAGGAGAAATCGGGGAAGTCGGAAACGGCCAACCTGGCGGAGGTGCACTGCACCCTGGTGGCGTCTGTGCGGCGGAGGGGAGCGGATGAAAAGGATGGGGGAGACACGTCCATTTGCTGAAATTAAAATTTGTTTTGTTTTGCCTTGTTGGTTTTAAAAGGAGTTTATCGCTCCTGGAAATATGTGTTTTTGGTTGTTTCTGTTTTTGGTAGGAGTCTTAAGCAAATGGAAGGAGAAGAGAGGGGTGCCAGGTGGATGGATGTGGAGGAGGCGAGGAAAAGGAGAGGGGGTGATGGGGGGGTTGGAGAGGAGTGCCTCTGATTTTTTGGAGGTGTCTTCAAAGGTTTCAGGGAGCAGTTTCCCTTGAAGGGATAATGCCAGGCAATGCAGATAAATTCAGGCTGTTGCATCACGTTGCATCCTGACCTCTGATTTTGTTTTCGGGGGTGCCTTCTAAGCTTTCTCTAGGAGCACCAGGGAATTTAGTCTTGGTTGGTTGGGGTTGGTGGTTTCATGATTGGAGCTCTTGTCGAAATGGGAAACCACCCGCTCGCCTTCAAACCACCAATCGAAACCAACAATTCAACGCTGAATACACGAACCAGACCCCGGAACGGATGAGTGTCGTTCAAAGCGGGGTGTGTGCCTGTCTTAAACGTGGGACTCCGGATTTTGGTGTCCCTTTACAGCAATTCTAAAATTGGTAGCCTCTCAACCACGTTTGAGTTCGTAGTTGGGTTCGGAGTCCGATGTTTCTTCCGTTTTTGTTCATTTGCAGGAGGAAGCCAACCCCCGCCCCCCGTTGGTCAAGTTGCTTTGGTGGAATCGGGAAGAATAGTTGGGCCTATCATCCCAAACGGGTTCCTTGAGAGGTTTTGGCTCTTTCTCCTCAGTTTGTGAGCAATAGAATCGCCAAGCCACGCGCAGTTTCTAGTTTTCTTGTGTTTTGGTTTTGTGTTGGAACACTTTGGTGTATTTCATTTTGCTTGGATGCTAGGACTTTAGCTTTTTGCCAACAAATGTGTTTTCCATTAAACCACTAAAAGTTAAACTTCTGGCAGGCGAGCAGAAAGCAACCAAGAATCATGTTATTTGTTTATCCTCCGACTGCTTCCCGTCAGCTAGCTCAGGTGCTTTGCAGTGGGCGCAGAATTCCACCACGGTCTTCCTTGGGGTGCCTTGGCCTCAAACTTTGGCCTGAATGATCAGGAGGGTAATACTGTTGCATGGGGAATGCCCAACTGCCACCTCCTTGCCCAAGCAGATGTTTGTTGCTCTGTTGCATGCCGCAACTTCCTCGGTCTGCAAAGTTTTGGCATGAAAAATGCGATGCCATAAGCCATTGCGCTGGACGATCAGGTGTTCAATGGACAACCGGTTTGATGACGGGGCGTTCCCGGGCGACAACTCCTTTTCTTGTGGTGACAGTGCTTGAACTTTGAATCGACGGTTGGTGTTGTTGTTCTTGTCCATGGGCCTTGATGTCTTTGGCTGGGAGTGGGGCGGCTACACACCAGACATGCTGCTTTGCCAGTGGATGCCCATTCTCTTCAACATGCGCACACTTGGCAACGATTGTTCTCTGGGGTTTGGCGGACTTCAACAAAAACATCTTGAATGAACTAGCGGTTGTGTTGGGTTTGGTGGACTTGAATGAGCTTGAGCGTGTTTTGGTCTTGGCCTTATCTGCTTGGGTGCTAGGACTTTAACTTTTTTGCCGACCAATGGGTTTTCCATTAAACCGCTAAAAGTTAAACTTTTAGCAGGGGAGCAGAAAGCAACCGAGTTATCCCGTGGCTCCCCCCGTTTGAGCGCTCCGCCGAGGTGAAGTACGCCGCTCGCTGGTCGGCGCCGGGCGCCATCGAGGTGTCTGACGTCCAGGTGAACGTCAGCCAGCAGCACTTCTCGCTCACAGCGCTGGGCCACCACTCGAGCATCCGGCAGCTCAACAGAGGTTCAGTGTTTGACCTGTCAACCACCGTGTTTATTATTATTGTTATTATTATTTTTTATTGTTATTATTATTATTAGTACTATTATTATTTATTATTATTATTATTATTATTATTATTATTATTATTAGTATTATTATTATTATTATTATTATTATTATTATTATTATTATTATTATTATTATTATATATAATAGTTTTTTTTGGGGGTGTCCCTTGCCCTGGGTTGACTTTGTTTGATACCGGGTCTTGATTATGACTCATGTTGACCCCAGATGAATCAACCCAGTTTATAGGGTGTGTTTCTGGGGTTTGTGAATCAAACACTTTGAGAGGGGAACACCCTCCGATTATTAGGACGAGTTTATTAATCCGGGGTTTATTTCGTGGTGGCTTTCGTTTTGCTACCCAGATTGACCTGCCAACAAATTTCTCAGGGAACCCCCCGTTTTGGATTTCTTCCGTCAATTTGTGGTGGAGAAGCTCACTCAGAACTGGTGGCTGGGCTCTTTTGTTTCAACAAGCAGTCGGTTCCTTCACACTTCCATGTGGGTAAGCTGATCCATGGGCAACCGAAGAAAGCGCAGTTCCTCTGCAACCGGCTGGTTCCATCCCCACCTTTGTAGGAGTCGTCAAGTCACTATCTCCGCAAAGTTGGGCACCGGATGCCAGGTCACAGGCACAGAAAGGGGTTCAAGTTTATCTTCACACGAAACCGAAGCGCCATCTGCTTCGCGCGATCTCCTTTGGGTTGAAATGCCCCCCGTCTAAGTTGCTTCCGTTAATTTGCGGGGGAGTGGGCGACAGGTATCATGTTGAGGGAGCATTTGTCCACCACCAATGTCCCTAAGGGTGGAACTGGACCAATCAACCAATGAGGATGGCCGGATGGCCGGATGGCCGGATGGCCTTTGGTTTTCAGGTTACGGAGCATGGATCAGTCATTTTTTGAGGTAAAGGAAAGCCACCAATTTGGGGGGTCCACCAAAAACGAAGAGGCACCCACCATGTTTTTACGTGCACTTCTTCAGAGCCAATCATCGCTTCCCCAGACCTCGATCCTCCCGTAGCATATCCACCAAACCCGCCGGTTGGATTGGAGTGGCGTGATAGGAGCCAATGCTCACTTTGGCTGAGAGTCACCGAATCACCAGATGTTGTTTTATTTTGGTTTTTGTTTTCTGGATGTTTTGGTAGATTTGGTTCTTCTGGATGTGCCTTTTTCTGGTCAGCCTCCACGTTTCCCTCCCGGAGGAAGCGGTACCTCGTGGAGCTCCCGCTGTTCGCCGCGGTCAGCGGACCAGGCGCCTGGTCCGCGGCCTCGGTGGGCCGCGGCACCGCCACGCTGCAGAAGCTGCGCCCAGAGAAGTGGAAGACCCTGCCCCGCGGCGGAAGCAAGGCTTATGCCATGTTGGGGGGGGGATTTGCGAAGGTGGATCTCCTGTTTAGCGCATGATGTTGCGGCGAGAATCTGGGCTGAGGGGGATGGGGGGGTTGGGCTTACTGTCATTTTTGTCTTGTGGGTAGTTGTGGTGGGGGGGCAGAACAAATGCCCTTTTGAGCCTTGGGTGGAAGACGGTCCTTTTGAGGGGACCTGCTAGTTCCATTTCTGCAGCCTGCGCTTGTGGATGAGGACCTCAGTGAAGTCCAAGCATCAGATCACCGGATGGCTGGACATGGAGGAGAGGTGGTCCGATGAGCTGAAGACGGCTGAGGGGAAGAGCAAGGACGGCAAGGGCAAAGAGGGCAAGGACAAGGCGTTTTGGCAGATTTGGCCTCACCCCCTGTTTCTGCAAGCTGGTTGCACAAGCAACTCGCCACATGTTGCGTGGCGCAACTGTTTGTGTCAAGGTCTCTTTTCACTACTGACTGGTACTTTTCTGGGCCTTGATCGATTTGAGTGGTAAGCCATAGTACTGCAATCCACCAGCTTGGACTGGGCCGATCTCAGGAAGGCAGGGCTACCCATCCCATTGAGCATGCACGGATTCCCGCTCACGCGCCAAGGCGGGAGGCAAGGCGAGCGCTTCGAAGGGAAGCGTCGTACACACGCCCTGGCAGAAGCGGCTGCAGCGACAATGGAAGAAGCTGCCAAAGACCGTCCGCAGAGGCCAGAGGTTTTGCGAATCAGTTGAGTCGGTCGAGGGCGTTAGTGCGCGGTTGTGGTGGTTCCCCATACATCTGTTTCTCACAAGTGTGGGGCGTCGTTGTGTTTGATATCTTTGATTTGAGTCTGCTGCTCTTGCCAATGAATTCTGCTCTGTTTGCTCTCTTTGTGCTTGTTGTTTTGTTGCGGTCTGCTTTGGCCTGTTGCTGTGAGGGCAGCTGCGCAGTTGCCTTGCGTCCTCTTGTGCTTGTGATGCGGGTCATGGCAGTCTTGCAACATGGTGTTCCTTCTGGCGGTGCTACCCTCTTTCATTCCAGGGCCCGAAAACCAGGGAATTGGAGTTGTGTTTGTGGAATGCTGGGCTGGAGCAAATGCATCAAGGCTGCTCGCAAACTCTTGGAGCCTAAGTTGCCCAGGTTCCTGGCACTACTGGAGCAAGGAAACTTAGGCCCACGCCTCTTGCTCTGGGTACTTTCCCAGGTGTCCTTTGGGTTTCTGTTCGGGGTCAAAATGACCGGCGGGCCCCCCATTTTGAGACGCCCCCGCACCCGCGCGCGCACCGCACGTGGACCGCAAACCGCTCGAACGGCAGCTGCTCCCTTCGTGCTGCTGACGCTTGGCTCCTTCTTGGCCGGCATGTCGATCTACAGCCTCATCACTGCACGGGCGCGGCCCGCAGTTTTGCGGTCCGCGGTTTTCGGTTGGAGGGACATGTCAAGGGATGTTGCAGGAGGCGCTAGCCATGTTGCATGGAGTGGGGGGTCCCAAGTGGGGACATGGCGGGTGCATGCTGACATGGCAGAACTGTCCAGGCCCCGGGTGAGCTCAACTTGACTCTTGCTTGTTGGCGAGGAATACGCAAGCAGAAGCACGGCACATGGTCAAAATTAGGTGAGCCTAGTTTTCAGGCACAAGGCACAAACGCTATCAGGGAAGGAACTCTTGGCATTGATTGGCAACTGGGTGACTGGTCGCCGGATTGCTCAGGCAAGTCCAGCCGAAGCTGCAGATGAGAGCAAGGCACGTCCTGAGACAACTGGAAGTGGCAACGTTCCTCCGATTCGGTATGCGATCAGAACCTGGGACCTTGGTACGTGGTTCACGGTTGCAGGGAATCATCCAAACCCCAGATGTTGTGTGTCTTCTCTTTTGATCCTCTACCTGGTTTTCGGCCGACTCCTTTCAGTTGCCGCAGGTCGCTGAAGCCGCTGACTCCTGAGCCCTGCCTGCGAGGAAAAAGTGCGGCCGAATGCGGGCGAATCGCGGGAGAGGGTCGGGGGGCAGAGGCTGACCGAGTTTGGCAGGTCGATTCGCCTTGCAGCGCCCTGGTTGCGCAAGGAATCGGTCCCCCTTGTTGGCCTCCCACGTCGGCCCTCCATTTCGAACAGCCCCGCCTATAAAAACTATGCTCCCCAGTTGGTCCAGCTTCCTGGTGTGTGAGGCAGCCGTTGTCTGGTGATTTGGCAGTGGTTGTCAAAAATCGGGTGACCCCAAAATGGCAAGCGCCCTTGTAGCTGGGAAATGTCAAAAGCCTGCGGTCCATATCCTGGTCACCCGGAAACCCTTACTTGGATTTGAACCCCTGGTAAATGGGCAACCCTCTCCGAAACCAAACCACCAACCTAAACCAATCCCAGCCTTTTTGCGGGTTCGCTGATTTGAGGTCGCCAACGGCTTCTCGTGATGATTTGAACTTCTTGCTTGGCCCCCTGCAAACCCCCATCTCACAAGAATGGCAAGGCCCCAATTTGGAGCATGAAACCATCCTGAACGGCAAGCACGCCGCTGGCTACATATAACCCCCCCCCCCCCCACCCATGGTTTTCTTGGGTGGCCTGCATGTGTCGATAGCTGACCATTGACCCCCGGGAAGGGGGGCTTGGGCCGAGATGCGAGACCCAAAACAAGAATTTTCGGCGCCTCGAGGCCATCTCCTCGGGGAACAACCCCCAGTTCTGGATCGCCACGAAACGCGCCTGGCGCCGGGCCCGGACGTCGAGTGGCGCTCCACCGCTTTGGGAAAGCAGCGCCGGGAGCGCGAGCGCGCGCCGGAAAAATCCGAGAAAAATCGGAGGCTCCATGGGGAGTGGCCGCTCTGGGCTCTGGGAGAAGCATCTGTTTTGTTTTTCTTTTTTTTCTCCGGTTTTTCCTTTGAGGTGCTGCAGCAACAAGCAGATTGGGTGCGAGGCTGGGGCCTCAGTGGCACAAGCTGAGCGTTGCAACCGCCTTTTGGACTGCCCGCTGGCTTTGTGTTTTTTCTTTGTTTTTTCTTTTTTTTTCTCTGGGGCAGCGTTTGATAACTTTTTTTGGGGGGGAAGGGGGGGGCGGGAGGGGCGACTCAGCCACAGTTTCCCTCGGCCCTGAGCTCTGAGGAGCTGAGCCCCTTCCAGTGCCGCTTGGCGATCGCTGATTTCAGGGGACCCTTTTCTGCGCGCGGCCACCCGTTTTGCCCAAGGTGAAGGGGACATGGCGGCGTGGGCCGAGGACGTCTCCTTCAAAGTAATCTGCAAGCCCTTTTGCAGATTCTACTCCCAAGCATGCCTCCCGGGCTCGCCGGGAGACGCACATGAATTCACCCTTGAAGGTGCTTTTCGGGGGATCGCTTATGTTCAGTCGGTGAATTACGATTTGCCCAGACACTTGCAGAATGCCCTGCACTTTCCGAGAAGGCTCGCTTATATCAGTTGCGAACTCGCACTCTGCGTACGGTGCCACCTGCCGATACACTGTGGCCGTGGGTGAACATCAATCTTCCAAATGCCCCCACCAAAATACTGTTCATCAATCCCAAGTTGAACTCCAGATCCTGTTTGTTTTTTCCTGGGGCTGCATTTGCAAATGGAGGCAGTCCCGGACAGTCTTCTATTTGCTTAAGAATATTCGTTTATTCCCCCTTTGTTGGTAAAGGGAACCTAGCACTAGTGGACAGATATGTAGAATGTGTATATATATATATAAATCCGAAAAACAAATCCCAAACTAAATCCGCACCCCATATATATATATATATGTTTTATTTCTTCCTGGGTTGAGAACTGGGCCGCTTACTTGCGCCAGGACCAGAAAGGCTTCTGCTGCGCCACCAAAGGCCTGGGCTGCACCACGGCCCTGCCCGAAGCTTCGGAGCTCTACGACTGCACCACAGGCGCGCGAAATCGGCGCGCTGGGGAGTCGGGAGTCGGGAGGGCGTGGGGCGCGCTGGCTCGAGGGCGCGGGTTGTGGGGGTTCCTCTTCTGGTGTCAAAAAGGCAAGCTCCAAGTGAGTGGCTCGTTTTTGTCTCTTTCTTTTTTTTTGAGGGTTCCGCCAGTTGGTGGTTGGAAACGGAAAACCAGGAGGAACACCTCCAAATTTGGGGGGGGAGGGCCCCAAAAAAAGGGACGAAGCCAAAAGGCACGTATGACAAAGAGCTCCATGTGAACCAGGAATTGTCACGTGTTAAGCTGAGACATCGCTGGCGGAAGATCATCCAGGGCTTCGATAGGCTGGGCAAATGGTTTACGCTTCAGGTGAGGGTGAAGCGCTTCGATTCGAGTTAGCTAGCTCCTGAAAGGGTATTGCAAGCTGGCAAGTGGCTGGCATAACCCAGTAAAAGATCCACACGGATCGATTTACAGAGAGCCACTGCCCCAAAGTGGAGGTTCTCACCAGTTCTCACAGCATTTCCTCTGCAGTGGAACCTTCCACTCCCCGTCCCCATTTCTCTCAAGTTGCAAATCGCTCGCAACTAGCTGCACAACTCATCAAGGGGTCTAGGTCCCCCAGTAGTGCCCTTTTACCCTTTTTTGGGGGAGGGCTCCCCTACTAACATGGACCACAGAAAAAAAGTTGGTACCCTTATTCTAACCTCTCTACCGGAGGACCTAGGAGTCAGCCATAAGCGAGCACAGGCGTCACCGACTGGGAGGCCTGGCCCACTGCGCAGCAGGACTGGTGCTGCCGCAGCCTCACCTTGAAAGGGAGCCGATCGTCCACGTGGGTGGCTGGTCGTGTTTTTTTTTGTCCCCCCTTTCCGGTTGGAATCCCCCAAAGTGGATTTCGGCGTTCCTTTGGGTTTCCGCTTGAAACCACACGAGAAAAGAGCACCCTCCAAACAAAGACACGCATGTGTGTTCGAATCACGGAAGGTCCTTAAGCTTTCCCTCAATGAACCTTGGGCGGAAATTCCGCCGCTCCTCGGGAGCCATGGAACGATTGCTCTGCCTTTCCGGATGCAAAGGCCAACACCACGGCCGGGCCTGCGCGGTGGCGCAGGCGGCGCAGTACACGTGCGCGGCGCTCGGGAAAACGACTCCGACGGCCAAGCGCGCTGGACGACTGGCTGAGGTGATGACGCTGAAACTTCCTGGGGCGCTGAACAGCGCCAGTGGTGCCGTGGCAGCGACTCAACAAATTCATGTCCAACAACCAGCACAGCCCCGCCCAGGTGCTGCACCCACCATGGCCGGGCCTGCGAGTGAGGGAAGTGACGCGGGGGGACTCGCAAAGCGATGACCCAGAATTCGGGCAAACGGGTCCAAAGGAGATCCAACGAGGAAGGGCATGAGAGGCTGAAGCTTTACTGCTGTGACTAGGTCCTCACTAGTTCTTGGACCATCGCTCTCGCGTTTCGTTTGCAGCTGGCCCTCTCAAAGAGACTGCGCCTGACCCTCTTGACATGCATGCTGACGGCGCTAGGGTTGCAGGCATTGGCATCAGATCAACTCACTTTCAACCCCCTCGATTTTGGTGCTGGTTTTCAATGCCATTGCTGCGTCCCTCAAGCACCGGAGGAGGTAGAGCAACCTTTCTGGCCGTTCATGTTGAGGCTGAGAGCAGCAGGCCGAGGCTTCTCATACTTCCCTCTGGCCCAGGCGCCTCTTCGGCATCATTGCATGCCTTCAGTGTGTTTGTCAGCTCCTGGGGCCGAAGCTGAGGTGATTTTTGCGGGATTTGGGAACCTACCCTGACCTACAAGTGTTAAGGGCCTGCTGCTTGACAGCCTGGAGGGCAGAAGGCGAAGCCTGGCCCTCAACGCTGCACCTTTTGGCTAGAGATCAGGAGCATAAGGCGGCCATTTCCGGAAGTAGACTTGACAGCGTTCGCAGGGTTTTTGTGACGCTCCTGTTTCGGGCCGAGCCCACTGCCACGGAGTGGCAGTGGGCTCACTGGGCCGTCCTTGCCCTTTCAGCAAGGCGTGGCGACCTCCGGTCTTCATAGCCGATTTGTACTTTGCCTGACCAAAGGGAGGGGATGTGCGACGGGGGCATGTGTGGCGCATGGCATTGTGGTGCCGGTCGGGGGGGTGGAGGAAATGGAGACACTTTGCCCAGAGCCATGTCCTGCCAGTTTCGGGTTTTATTGCCTGTGATCCGGGAGCTGCAAGCATCACAGCACAGAGAAGCGGCGCACTTGACCCGGCAGCCTTTGTGGACTCGGATTGCCTGTCAGTTCCAGCCCGGATTGAGGCCAATTAGGATTTCCGCATCATGAGCTTTTGGCGGGCCCAAGCTTTCTCGTCATACATGCGGTTTTTCATGATGATCAGGATTCATCCAGCTGTTGCAAAATCCGAGATCATGTTTCACTGGTGACTCAGCACGGAGAGGTTGCAACCGAGCTCAACAAACAAAGGGATTGCAAGTTCTCCCGGCTGCTTCCCCATCCCAAGGTCCCAAGGTCGCAAGGAACTCGGCCCTCCAAACAAAAAAAAAAAAAACGCTCACACGCCCAAGACACAGCAAGAATCCTTGGTGGCGAGTGGGATGTGTCAGGGGTTCAGGGTCCATAGTGGGCACCCCCGGAAGCCAGGCAAAAGCTGAAGCTTGGCAGCAGCCCATGCCACGATGCCGACTCTAAAGAGGCGTCTCCCACCCCAATCGAAGGAAAACAGCAGGGGTGCCGACAGGGATGTGGTTTTACAGCTCCAATTTGTTGCAAAGCACTGTAGGACAATGGGCAATGCGGCGTTCAGTTGAGTTTCATTGCGGCCAAACATGGCAGAGCAGTGCCCCCGAGCTTCTAGGGCTTAGTTCCACTCGTCATGTCGCTGCTGGAGCTGTTGCGTTTGCCCCCGACCTCCCTGGTGGCGCGTCTCTCCGGGCATCTGGGCGCTTGGCTGCTGCAGAGCCGGCGCATATGCCGGCCGGAGAGCGGAACAAGGCGACGGGGAGGCGGAGGGTAGGGGGAGGCAGAGGAGGGTGGGGCAGTGGGGCGACAGAAGCTTCTGTTTTGTGCGTGGGAAGTGCATTCTCCGTTGGACACGTTTGGTCTCAGGGGCCCTGCCGCCCGAAACAAGTACGGATTTGGAGACGGACTGTTTCTCCAGCGAGTCTGCGTGCCATGATCCCATGTTCGAATGGAGAAGGCAAACAGCTTTTTGCGCTTGCCACTTGGACAAAGCCAAGGCAAAGTAGCCTCAGCGGCGCCGTCGTGCTCTTGCCGGTGTACTCTCCGCAACTCCGGCGAGAAGGGCCTTGGAGTCAAGTCCGGTCCGTCGAAGGTTCCAGCGTTCCACCCTTGCTTTGCCAGCTTGCAACCTCCAGTTCCCTTCCATGCAGCTGCGAGAAGCAACCAGGGGCCGACTTTTGAGCTCGCCCTTGCCATAGCCGAAGTACTTGGAGCTTAGTGGGCGTCACGACGTTCCCGCCAGCTTGAGTTCCTCATCTAGGCTTTGGGTACCTTCATCGTCATACCTTTCGCCTAACCCAGAAGCAAGAACAAGAAAGAGTAGCCATGAGACAGTATTTGCGTCACAACTTCCAAGATGGAGGTCGGAGGCTTGAGAAGCCTTGGGCCCAAATCATGAGAATGGTTGACAAACTCCTGCGCCAGTTTGAAACTATGGGAAGCTTTCGATTGTTGGTATTTACCGGGGATTTATCATTCCAGGTTGCTTGGTGCGAATTGGATTTCGTTCAATAGTAGGGGTCATAGACGCGCGCGTTTTGGGCCGTGAGTCACTCATACCTTCTCGGCCTTTCGGCCTGATCAAGTGTAGTATCGGTTCTTATCAGTGTGACAACTGATATGGTTTTTCCTGGAGACTTGCTAGTTGAACCACACACTGATATGTTTTTTTTCGGCTTCACCCACTAATATAGGTATGGGTCAACATTACACCACCAGGGGATTGCAGGCTTGAGTCCATGTTTCTCCACTTCCTAGGGTTACATATTTTTGACCCACAGCCATGTGTTTTGAGCTCAACCTCATTTTGGGTCGGCACCACCCATGTAAGGCGTTAATTTAGTGGGGATTGAATCGGATGTTCACTGGGGGCCAACCGATTCGGGTTTTGAAAAGCCCATGGCCAGGGTCGGGGCAGCGTCTTGCGAGCCGCTGAGGTACCGCAGCTGGTCCCCTGATCGCGGAGCGCGCGGACCGCGCTCCGCGCGGATGCCGGAGGGCGCTGCGGCGCCGGAGGCGCGGCTCAGCCTGGTGGCGTTGCTGGCGGCCCTGCGGGCTGGAGGCGCGGGGAAGTTGAGAGGTGGGGGGTGGTTTCAATTTGCTGCGAAAAGCGGGGAATGTGGGAAGGAACGAAGGAATTCATAGGATTTCCTAAGGCAACCACAAGACATGGTTCAAAAGAGAGGAGTGGTGGGGGCAATTCCCTTAAAGCAAACCACCAGTTGGATGGTTTAGAAGGGTCATTTCCCCATACATCTGCTGAGCACCAGGGGCTTCGGTTCAAGGCCGACCTTTGGATCTTTGGGTTTTCCCTATTTGGCCCATCCTTTGCTGAGGTCCCAAAGCGAATTCGACCGGATCTGACATTTTGGTTTTCCCTTTGTCCATGCTTTGAGGTCCCAACAGGTTATCCCCCAACGAGTTTTCCCTGTGGCCCAATTGTTAGGAAAGGTCCCAGAAGGTGATCACCTTTCTGATCAGGTTTCGGCCAGTGAGGTTTTTTTCTGTCCGGGACCAGCTTGCGGAAGGGACCGGGAAAAGGTTTATTCCAAGCTTCTCAGCACCCGCTCCAACCTTTCGAGCTGCGACCTGCTGCGAGGGCGGAGGGAAGCGGTCCGCTGATTTCTCTGGCTATTTGCCTGGACCTTCAGACAAAATACGTGGGGAGACAAAGGGGCTTCGGTCGTGAGTGGAACCGCTTTTCAGACTCAGACTGCAGGCAAGGAACCGCAAAGACCCTGGCTTCAGGCACAGTGGCCCCTGTGACTCCAGAGCTGCTTGAACCTCCTCGTGATCGTTCAGGCTCAGCGCTGCGGGCTCATGTGTTGCCAGCTGTTGGGTGTATAGTTGCCGAGGTCATTTGCTCATCCCCGATCTGCACTGGGACAAGAGCGAGATTCCCAGTGTGCTGCGGCAATGGGAGTTTCCTGGCTGGAGCTGGCTGCGTGTTTGTATCAGGCCTTTCCACGTGGGACAGATGCAATGCTGCCTGCTTGCAGGCCATCCTTCGTTCTAAGCTTTGGGGCTCTGGACGACGTGTTCACGCGCGGCGCTGCCAAAAACACCCCGTGGTCCCGCAACACCGTGGAGTTTGCACGTCTGGGGCTGGCGCAGCAGGGCTCTTCGGCGCCGTTTTCGGTGTCCACGCCGGACTTCAAGAACGACGTGGACCTGGACTTCTCCGACGTGGCCCTCAGCTTTTCCGGCGGGCAGCGGGTGACCTTCGGCAGCCTGCTGTCGGCGGTGGCGGACCCGGGCCACGCCTTGGCCTCCGGCGAAACCGGCGCCATCGTGCGGCTGCTGCGCTCCGCCCAGGCGGAGAAGGCGCGGGCGCCCCGGCGGCCGCGGCCCTGGTGGCCGGCACCCGACTCACGCGACGGATGGCCGCCCCGGCGCTTGGAGCCCCGGCCCAGCATGTGGGTGGCGGTGGACGCCTCCGACCCCAGCCGCCAGGGCCGCACCCTGGACGGGGACGTGTACTACTGGAACCGCGAGACCAACGAGACCACCTGGGACCGGCCCTGGGGTGGTCGCCGCTCGCAGCTCGAGGTGCCGAAGCTGCGAGAGGTCACTGGGGCGAGGCTCAGACCAAGGAGGCTGCGCCCGGCCAGAGCTTCCCAGCTCGGCCTCACTTTGGAGTTCCTGGGGCGCTCTGGCTTCACCAGGCACAGGCCCCTTTAGGCGCTTCAGGTTCTGGCCGGTTGCAGAAAAGCGGACAAGTTGGCAGACAGAGCTGACCCGCACATGGAATCCACGAGGCCCCTTTGGTTCAACATGACGAGTTGATGCATTGTCTTCCTGCGGCACCGGCTCAAGATCCCCGAGGCATGTGCAGTCGAAGCCCCTCCGATAGCCATGCCACCGGGTCCATCTGAACCGTGATCCGATTACGCAGTTCCAGGCTATGACCGTGCTGCAGCCCAGGCCACAAGGAAACATATGCGTCATGATGCATCATGGGTCCAGAGATGGAATCTTGTCTCTGCGCTAGGTGGATATTGCCCTTGTGCTTGCGGCTGGCGTGGGCCAACTCTTCATGTGCAGGAGGCGTGCTGTTTGGCACGTGCACCTTTCCGTGCAGAGCTTTGTGTGTATCTCAAGGCGTCAGGGCGGTTTTGGTTCCCACGTTCACTTGCATGAAGAACATGAGGTCTCAATGCCTTGAGTCTCAGCCCAGTCTTATCTTTGGCCCCCCTTTTTTTTGGGGGCGGAAGGGGATGACATGCATAGATCACCTATTTGTGCCACACATGGGTATGGGTCAAAATGAAACCACCAGAAAACCGCAGGTTGTAGTCCATGCTTCCACTCACCAGGGCAACCCATTTTGGGGTTACCATCTATTTTCGACGTGTTGCAGCCCCTTTTGTTTGCAAGCCGCTGGTGTGGGAGGATGCTTTCCGATCCGGGCGGAACTGGAGCTGGAGCAGGCAGAGCGCCTGCAGCTCCTGCAGACTCATATCAGCTTCCTGGGCTCTCCTCATGACCAGGCGGGACAGGCCGCCAGGTGAAGACGTTGCGCGAGCTGAGTGTCATTTTAAGGTGCATGGGTCAAACCCAGATACATCCAAATACCCTTTTTTGGGGTCAGGCATGGGTCAAGGCCCAGATATCCAGATACCCTTTCTGTGGGGTCACCTGGTCACCCCCCATGTGCGCTTGGTCCATTTGCGGGAAGCGGCGCCCGAGCCGAGGACCCTGCAGTCATACTTCCGGCGAGGCGATTTGGGGCCAAGACCAAATCGCCCCAGATGCGGCTCGGCGAGAGATTTGAGGAAAAAGCCGCGTTTCGAGCGCAGTTCTCAAAGCTTCGGTCTGTTCGAACAGTTGGGCGTTTCTTTTTTTTGGGCTCCCCGAACAAAATAAAAGGCTGGTGTTCCTTGTGGTTTCCCTTTGAGACACCGTCAAAACCGTGGCCTCAACAAAAGACGAGCCACCCCAGTTGGTTGTGTGGTGCACGCCGGATCCTCTTTGACATCAGGGCGCAGCAGGCCTTCATCCCCGGCACCGCCTTCTTGCTGGGCATGGTGCTGCTGGCCATGAACAAGACAACCTTAGGCCGCCTGAAGAAATACAGACCTGGGCAAGCAAGAAAGATAGACAATGCATATTTATATATATATATGTCTATATCTATATCTATATATATACACATATGTGTATATGTATTCACTCCCCCCAGCATGACGTACCTGTTTGCAAAGCTAAATCTTGAGGCTCTCAAAAACTCAGCCGATACATAAAATATATACACAAATAAGTAAATACATGAGTATATACACATATCTGTCTGTCTACCTGTCCATCTATTCATCCATCCTATCTATCTGTCTATCTATGCATGACTACATACATACACTATATACTTGAATTCGATATGACATCGTCAATTGCCCGCGGCGTTGTTTTGCGAGACTTGGGGATGGTACCATCGTTTGGTCCCACAGGGCATTGGTGGGGGTCCTCAGGCATGCTGGCGGTCTACTTCGCGGGCCAGTCCAGCTTCGCCCTCTACATGAAGCTGGTGCTCTCGGAAGAGACCATCTCGAGAGATCTGAATTTGCGGGGTATGCCCGCTGCTTTCCTTGTCACCGCCATCCAACAGGCGGCGCAAACCTTAATGAACACGTGTTTGAAAGGCGAAAGGGTGCTTAGTCCGGCAGTTGTCCATTATTTTTGTTTTGAGAGGGGGGTGCCCCCAGCGGTGGTTTTTTTTGGGGTTTTGCCTCAAGCCCTGAGAACAAAACTGCCGCTCACAACATCCCTTTCTGTTTTAAAGGCCGGACCATTCATCAGCTTCCCTTCAATGGGTGTTTGGAAAGGAGGGTTTCCCACAAACCCTCTACAAATCCAAATCCAAACCACCAATCCAAACCTCTGACAGGATACCTGCTTTTTTGGGGTACCCCTAATTTCAATACAAACCCCCACCTTGAGGGATACCCCTCATTTCACCTCAGGGATACCTGAATTCGCGCCTACCTTTCGGCTCACCCGGTAAGGGGCCAGAAAAACATGCGCCGATTTTTCGGGTCACTCACTTTGAAAAGGGGCCCTCGGCCGAGCCGAGCGCTTTTTTTCGCACTTTTCCTTTCGCCTGACGTCTCCGTGTCACCCGGTTAATGCCAGGTGGTGGCCTTCATTTCGCTGCTTGACTGCTAAGTTGGATCTTCAGACTTGAACATTCTTTCACTTTTTGGGAAACGTTGTGGGGTTATCATCCACTACACCCAGAAAAAGCGAGCAACTTTTTGCAGAGAAGTCAACCAAGGCTGGGCGTGGCCATGGCAGCGGTCTACTTCCTCGGGACGCCCTACGTGCCGCGCAAGCTCCGCAGCCTCCGGGAAGTGGCTGCGGTGCTCTTCTTCGCCTTCGCGGTGGCGGTGAATATCGGCCCCTGGGACGGGGATGGATAGGAGCCGCCGCGGCCTGCTTTCTTTAAGTTCGCCGTAAATGGAAAGAAACTAACAAATGACTGTTTGAAATAACTGACTCTATACGTAAAAAGATGGGAAAATAGAAACATCAATGCAATAACTAGATATACAAATGCATAGGTACTAAAACAAATAAAGCTTAGGTGACATCCCCAACAGCATGCGGTGCTCTTTTTAGTGCTCGCACCACCCCGCGGCCCTCGCATACCCGCGTGGAACCCTCGTCGGAACCCTGGTGGAACCCTGGTGGAACCTTACCTCAGGGCCGCCCCAGACCACCCCGGAGCCTATCTGGGCTGAGACCCCAAAGCTTTCAGCTGTTGGGGAACAAATAAACAAGTTAGATTTCAAATACATTACTCTATCAAAGAAGTTTAGTTAGAAAACTTCGGTAATACGAAAAGTAGAGTTAGACATGCGCAAGTAGAGTTACACATGCGCAACACGCGAAGGGTACCCCTGTTCAGCGCTGTAATGCTCGCGCAGAGGTTTTAGGAGGTCAGTTGTGCGCGGCAGGCGCAGCACTTTGGCAACCTAAGGTACAGATTTCGTGGCAGGCGCGGCACTTTCGCAAGGTCAGGTGATAGATAGATAGATAGATAGATAGATAGATAGATAGATCAAATGGAGAGAGAGAGAGAGAAAGAGAAAGAGAAAGAGAAAGAGAATTAAAAAGAAAGAAATACAGACAGAAAGAAAGAAAGAAAGAAAGAAAGAAAGAAAGAGAGAGAGAGAGAGAGAGAGAGAGAGCGAGAGAGAGAGAGAGAGACAGAAAGAAAAAAAGAAATAGAGAAATAAATAAAAGAAAGAAAGAAAGAAATAAGGAAAGACAGAAAAACAATAAAGAGAGAACAAAATAAAGATAAATAAAAAGAAGGAAATACAGAAAGAAAAAAAGAAAGAAAGAAAGAAAGAAAGAACGAAATCGATAAATACAGAAAGAAAGAAAGAAAGAAAGAAAGAAAGAAAGAAAGAACGAAAGAAAGAAAGAAAGAAAGAAAGAAAGAAAGACAGACAGAAAGAAAGAAAGAAAGAAAGGAAGAAAGGAAGAAAGGAAGAAAGAAAGAAAGAAATAAATAAGGAAAGAAAGAAAGAAAGAAAGGAAGAAAGGAAGAAAGACATACAGAAATCAACAAAGAAAGAAAGAAACATATATAAACAGATAGAGAGAGAAAGAGAAAGAAAGAAAGAAAGAAAGAAAGAAGGAAATAAACACATGCCAAGCTCTTCTTATAGGCTCTTTTCTCGCTTTAGAAACTTCCGCCCACCGGCTCTGCCGGCTCTACTGGCATAGATTTCAGTGTCAACGTGCAAAGACATTGGAGACCTTGGCCTGCAGGCAGGCGCCTTGATTCATTGATTGCCTTCTAGGCAAACTTTCCCGGCATCACCCAACGTTTTTGTGGTTTCCGGTTGGTTTCAAGCTTTCCCTGCAAAGGTTGTGTCTTGTTTGCGCTTATGTTCAGGATTGAACAACTTCAGCATGTCCTTGCTGCCGGTGTCCTTGAACATGGTCATCCGGTCTTGCATCCCTCTGGTGACGCTAGTTCTGCAGCAGATCGCGCATAAGCTGGGGCTTATCACGGCTGCGCCTGCTACCGTGTGGGACGAGACTCGTCGCAATTGGCCAATTGGGTCCATGCGCCTCTGGAAATTTCACAACATGTCCGAGACAAGGGTCAACAGGTTCTGATGTAAGTGTTGGCCTGTTTTGGACCGGCATCTTATTGATATTGAGTGAGTTCGATGTACTGATCCCTTTGGCAGGCTCCCATGTACCAAAGGGCAGGAGTGAGGGTGCGGGGGGTGCCGATGTGCAACTGGTGGTGTTTGCGCGCGGTGCTGGTGCAGCGTGCCGGCGCAGGGGTGATTATCATGCACTGCTCGGATGTTGGTGCAGGGTGCATTGTGGCACAAACCCATGTTAATCGGCGGAGTATTTTGCTGAGGTGCTGAGGAACCGAATCCTCTAAATCAGCTGGCAAAAGCTTATTTCTTGACTGCTGGCTTCCAGTTAAACCCCCCACCAAAAGGTGGGGTGCTCCCACCAATAAACATGGACCATTTTCCTCTCACAGCGCCTAACATCGAACGATTCCGGCTGTTAATTGGTGGGAGGTTAGCGCGATTTCGGGCCCTCCACCTCCCGCTCCGACTGGGCAGCCGAAAGGATGCCCCTATATGGTTCCAACCACATGATTCCCCAACGTAAATTTACCAACCAACCTTCTGGTTTCAACCACGTGTTTCCACCTGACGCGGATTTTTCAGGGAAAACCCGCCACCATCCACCACCTGCCTCCTCTCCCCGCCTCAGGCGCAATCAATGGTTTCAACATGTGTCAAGCACATGTTTTCAGTAAGTGCGATTTTTCTGGATTGCGCAACCCTTCGCCATTATTATGTCTCCTCTCCTCAATCAGGTGCTGCTCATGTCCGCCGGGGTGTCCTGTGCGGCCTTGAGCGCCCTCGCGGAGAGCGAGGGCGCGGGCCCCGGCGCCAACGAGCATCTCACCCTGGGCCCCTCGGACAAAAGCGGAGCCAAGAGTGCTGGAAGGGACGTGGTCGCACTAGACCTGGGGCTGCTGGCTGCGGCTGAAAATGCAAGAGCTAGATCCCCCAGCTAGGTGCCCTTTCTCACCCACTTGTTTGGTTTTTGGGTTCCCCTACTAAAATAGGCAACAGAAAAAGGTGTGCCGTGGTACCCAAATTCTGACCTCTCAAATCTGGAGGACCTAGAAATGAAAGCGCTGGGTTGCAACTGCCTGGTAGTCCAAGGGCTCCTTCTTGAGCCCAGGGTTTCCGAGCCCAGGGTCCGTTTTTGGAAAGGTGGGGCTCGCCACCAGCGGTTCAGAACAACTTTTCAGGGGGAAATCCAGAGTTTCCCAACCCGGGGGTTCTCCATTTTTTATTGGGGGGAAACGAAGCACTGGGGTTTTCTGTCTGGGCTCAAACCGTGGAACCCTGAAACCGAACAGGCCAGTCACTGACTTGCGCCCCCTCCCACGATGCGACAAAAACTATTTGTAGCAGTTGGCCAGTGGGATGGATGAAGCCCGATGAACACTGCTTGATAAACCGAAGTGGATGTTGTTCAGTGGCGCTGGCAGGGGGTTGTAAGAGGAAACTGATCGGGGGGGGGGGGTCCTGTTTAAGAGGAGGTCCTTCACTGTTTGGGGAAACGCCCAAGTAACCCACCTGGTTGATGAACCCGACTTACTCCAATACCAGCGAGGGGCTGATTCATTGAAGATGTGGACATGTGACCACGTTGGTAAATGCGCTGGGAACATAATTGAAACACATCCTCTTCGAGGTGTGCGCGAACTCGGCTTTGAGTTGTCCACCAGGCTTGCCTGTTGCCAAAGTAGATCTCTTGAAAAGGCAACATTGAGCCATCCCCCTGTCTTCTCGGCGAATTTGTTGCTTTGGCTGCTGTTTTTTCTTCTTGAGTGGCGTACCTATGTACTTTCGTAAGCATCTTTCGGTCGCGGAAGAAATATCGCACCTGAATCGTTGCAGGCATTTTCATGTGCTTCCTGGGTGATGTCGCCGCAGCCACCACGCTGATTCTGGCGGCAGCCTTCAACACGACTCTGCAACCGCCGCTGTCTCCCTTGGATACGAGCCTTGGCATTTGGAGCATGCAGCCGACGTGATGGTTTTGTCCACTTGGGTCATCTTGGGTCATCTTGGCTCAACAGTCATCAATAGATGTCCACGTTGTCCTGAGTTGTGCCAGTTAACACGGAGCGTGTCAAGGTTAGAATTCCCAATTCCCCTTCACTCGTGTTTATAAGAAAATATGGGGCATCCCAAGCGGCTTCCTGTTGGCTCGGATCGGGCAAATTGGCGCGCTACTTGGCGAGTCACTCATTCCTGTTCGCTCGGATCGGATGGTTGCTGTCACACTTCTCTGAAAGGGACCCCTCAAACACCCCCCCCAAAAAAAAATGAAAGAAAGAAAGAAAAACAACAACCCAAAAACATAAAATCAATCATATGTTGGAAAAGACCAAGAAGAAAGACCATTTTGGGAGGTCTTTGGGGGGTCCTCACAAAGAATTTTTCTGGTGGCGTCAACAAACGGCGCTTTCAGGGTCTTCTACACGGCCCTGCCCTGCGCCTTGGTGCTTCTCCCGGCCTCGCTCTACGCCTCCCACCCCGTAGATTGGCCCGACGTGGGCCAGCTCACGGACTGGGAGGCCGGTGGTGTTTTTGGTTTCCCGGGGAAAAAACCCCGGAGAAAGAGAAACAATAATAAGAATAATAATAATGTAATAATAATAATATTAATAATAATAATAGTATGTGTTTTTTTTTTTTAAGGAAGGAGAAAACAAAAACGGGACTCGACTCGGGCGGCGGAAGTTCCTTCTCGAACATTTTGGTTTTCGTCTGGAAAGGGGGGGGGCGCGGTTTTTGGATTGGGCGCGGTTTTTGGATTGGGGAATGTGCTCTGGGGAACATGTCGCTGCTTATGCTTTTCTTCTCACAGGAAAACAGAAGCACAACTGCAGCATAACTCCCAAGCATCCCCTGCGAATGTGTTTTTTGCCATTGGTATGGTTTTGTCTGGGAAGGGGCGGGCGGGGGGTTTCGTTGCTTTGGGGCATGTGCTTGAAATGTCCGAGAAGTACTTGAGTCCTTGACTAATCTGCTGAAGTGGGCGGGTTCGTGGCGGAATGTTGTTGAAGTGTGCTGTACTTTGCGGACCCGCGGTGGTCATCTTTCTGTCCATTCCAGCCCCTGGGCTTTTCCGGCGGATGGCCGTGGGAGGTGTACCAGACAGTTCACCGGTTCAGTCCTGGCACGATCTTCCTGGTGATTTTCTCCGGCATCGTGTCAGCCGGCTACAACTTCATCCAATACACGGTGGTTCAAACACTCTCGGCATCTTGGCCCATTGATTTCAGTGGCGTGCTGCCAACAAAGAAAGGCAGCTCCGTTTTTTGTTTTTTTCTCCGGTGCAAGCCGAGAAGGCCGGTTTCTGCTCCCCTCCCCCCCCCCCCCCGTTTCTTCGCGCAGATCGATCCGAGGCCAGCCACGCCGCGTTCGCGGGGAACTTCAACAAGGCGGCCACCATCTCGCTGTCGATGTTTCTGGGCCTGGAGGCGTTGCCGCGGGGCACCTGGAGTTCGGTCATGGTGCTGGGGGTGTCCGGCAACATTCTGGCCTTCAGCACCTGGAGCTACCTGCAGTCCGCGCGGGCAAGCGCGAAGGCGTCGAGTGCCAGGGAGCCTCTGGCCGAAAAGGCTTGAGTAGATGAGTAGATGACTCCCTTGGGAGGGCAACTGGAAGGTCGGGGAAATTCCGGTTTTCCCATCTGGCCGGAAAGGTCTTCCCATCGCCAATTGTCATGGACAAAAGGCCCGGTGCTGTTTGTCAAGGTGTCAGGCAGGCGAAGGCGCTGCATGATTCACAAGGCTGGAGCTTGTCCAATGCCAGCCCGGTCGCAGCCGAGCAGCTCTGGAACCCCAAGCGCCCAGCAGGCATCCCCGAGCATTCGGAAGCATGGCGTTCGAGAGGACTGGGGTCTCACGATATGATACGGTCGCGACCATAGGTGTCCTTTTTGGTTGGTTTTCGTAAAAATAATAATAACAGAGGGCCCTGGTTTACCTGGTGGCTCAATCATCTACCAGGGCCATCCATTTTCCAAAAAGGACACCTATGGTGGCGACCTCCGTGTGATTAATCAGGTTTCGCCTGAGCCTCGCAATGGAAGCTGGAATTCACGTCCCCTTGGAAGGAATAAGTCATAGCATGCAGCTGAACTGCAGTTCACCGGTCTGTGTCACTGGATTGACCTGCGAGGACCTATGACTATGCCTTCATGGACATGGACCAGAAGGCAGTTGTGCGACCATTCGTTTAACAAGGACCTGTGGTTTTTACCGGAGCTGTCACCGTCTCCATTCCGCAGCGACGGGCAGGTGGTAACTATGTGGTTTTCTTTGGAACAGGTCGCCCTTGGTTGGGGTTGAAGATTCCGCCAAAACGTGCAGAAGAGTTTTGGTTGTTGGCACAACTCCCCTCATGTCGGTATGCGAAGGGCATGATGCAACCGGAACGAGTTGGAGCCCCAAAATTGCGGGTGTTCCTTTCGGCTTCCCCTAGAATCAAGCTGGAAAGGGGATCGCCTCTCAGATCATGCATGGAACCTGTCGCCATCCCTGAAAGCAAGCCTTCCTTTTGGGCGGACTTGTTTGCGACGTTGGAGCCTCCAAAAACAACCCACCAGCACATGGGTCAAATTTTAAGCCAGGATTATGGTCCCAGGGCTGACTTCCCCAGTCTCTCCCTCCCCAACGAAAACGACTCACTCGGGGCTCGGGTTGGTCGGCCAACTTCCGAGCCAAATCTCCCAGAAACCACACCCGAGTGATTGTGTCCTCAAGTTCATGGGAGTGGAAACCATAGTGATGAGAGAATCCAAGGGATCCCCACCTGGATTCCCACTTCCATTTGCTGAAACGAATATTTTCCCGTTTTTTTCCCTGGTTTCAAAGGGAATTCTGGACATCTTTTCTCTATTTTTTTCCAGACGAAAAAGCAAATGGACTGTTTGTGGACAGTTTGTTAGTTTGTGGGAGTGGAAACCCATAGAGCTTCAGAGAGACACCAAAAGTCCCCACCCACCTGGATTCACACCTCCATTTGCTTAAGAATGTTGGTTTTACAGGGAAATCATCGCTACTGGACTTCCTTTCCCTTAGTTTTTTGGTTTTTACAGGGAATCTATCACTACCTAGTCACTACTTGAAATCTGTTCCCTCATTTTTTGCCACCTCCATTTCCTTAAGAATGTTGGTTTTAAAGGGAAGCTCATCACTACTGGACTTCCTTTCCCTTTTTTTCCACTACTTGAAACCTTTTCCCTCATTTTTTGCCACCTCCATTTCCTTGAGAATGTTGGTTTTAAAGGGAAACTCATCACTACTGGACTTCCTTTCCCTTTTTTCCACTACTTGAAACCTTTTCCCTCATTTTTTGCCACCTCCATTTCCTTAAGAATGTTGGTTTTAAAGGGAAACTCATCACTACTGGACTTCCTTTCCTTTTTTTCCCACTGCTTGAAACCTTTTCCCTCATTTTTTGCCACCTCCATTTCCTTAAGAATGTCGGTTTTAAAGGGAAGCTCATCACTACTGGACTTCCTTTCCCTTTTTTTCCACTACTTGAAACCTGTTCCCTCATTTTTTGCCACCTCCATTTCCTTAAGAATGTTGGTTTTACAGGGAAGCTCATCACTACTGGACTTCCTTTCCCGTTTTTCCACTACTTCAAACCTTTTCCCTCATTTTTTGCCACCTCCATTTCCTTTCGAATGTTGGTTTTAAAGGGAAGCTCATCACTACTGGACTTCCTTTCCCTTTTTTGTCACTGCTTGAAACCTGTTCCTTCATTTCTTGCCACCTCCATTTCCTTAAGAATGTTGGTTTTAAAGGGAAACTCATCACTACTGGACTTCCTTTCCCTTTTTTTCCCACTACTTGAAATCTGCTTTCTCATTTTTTGCCACCTCCATTTCCTTAAGAATGTTGGTTTTACAGGGAAGCTCATCACTACTGGACTTCCTTTCCCTTTTTTTTCCCACTACTTGAAACCTTTTCCCTCATTTTTTGCCACCTCCATTTCCTTAAGAATGTTGGTTTTACAGGGAAGCTCATCACTACTGGACTTCCTTTCCCTTTTTTTTCCACTACTTGAAACCTTTTCCCTCAGTTTTTGCCACCTCCATTTCCTTAAGAATGTTGGTTTTAAAGGGAAGCTCATCACTACTAGACTTCCTTTCCCTTTTTTGTCACTGCTTGAAACCTTTTCCCTCATTTTTTGCCACCTCCATTTCCTTAAGAATGTTGGTTTTAAAGGGAAGCTCATCACTACTGGACTTCCTTTCCCTTTTTTTCCCACTACTTGAAGCCTTTTCACTCAGTTTTTGCCACCTCCATTTTCTTAAGAATGTTGGTTTTAACGGGAAGCTCATCACTACTGGACTTCCTTTCCCTTTTTTTCCACTACTTGAAATCTGTTTTCTCATTTTTTGCCACCTCCATTTCCTTAAGAATGTTGGTTTTAAAGGGAAGCTCATCACTACTGGACTTCCTTTCCCTTTTTTTTTCCACTACTTGAAACCTTTTCCCTCAGTTTTTGCCACCTCCATTTCCTTAAGAATGTTGGTTTTACAGGGAAGCTCATCACTACTGGACTTCCTTTCCCTTTTTTTTCCACTACTTGAAACATGTTTCCTTATTTTTTGCTACGCAAGAAGCAAAATGGCTGCCCAGAAACCCCGCGCCGCGCTCCCCGCGCTCCCCGCGTCGATCGCCTCGAGGCCTCGGTGCTGGCGCTGCTCCGCGCCGCCGCGGAGGCGGAGCTGGACACGGAGGACGCGCGGTGCAAGCTCTGCCCGGCGCTCGGCCCGTTTTTTTTTGGTCCTCACTTCCTGAGTTCATGAACTTTAAACTTTTTGGGATGACCATTTTAGTGGCAAATATAAAGTTTGGACTTTTTTTGGGCCATCCACTCAGCCAGTGGTCCGATCCGTGGCCGGGATAATTAGGTCGGGATCCAGTAAACAGCGAAATTCGGTGGAATTCGGGGAGTCGGGGTTTATTTTTCGGAGAGTCCGGCGAGAGGCAGGGGAGTTTGGGGGTCGGCGGCGGCCGCTCTTAACTTTGGAAGGGTCGGGAGGTTTTGCCAGAGAGTCCTTGGCTTCCCGCGCCTTGTCAATCAAGCGGCGGGAAGCCAAGTGGAGGGTTTTTATGTGAGACATGTGGATGGTACCCCCAGCCCGAAAATGGAATTGGGAGAGGGTGATTTCTGGAGATCTCCATTTATGGTTCCATTTTCCCTTTATGGGGAAGACGAGAGAAATGGAATTAGGGAACCCCCCCACCCCCTGGCGAGAGGCAGGGGATTTTGGGGGGTTCGCTTTCTTTGTTTCCATTTGGTTAAGATGTTTTTTTCTTTTCCCCTGTTGGTTTTAAAGGGAATCGATTTCACTACTGGATATATTGCTATTTGTCCAGGGGACTTAAGCAAATGGAGGTTTGGAAGGGTCGGTATTATTCAGAGAGTGTCCGGAGGAAGAGTAGTTCTTTTAGTGGAAGATCCGCACCTTCTCTTTGGTGGGAGGGTGGTTTTTTTTCTCCCCCACCCACCAGGAGAAGTTAAAAGGAAAGGTGGAGCGGCAGGGAAATCAGCCGAAATCAGGCTTCAAGGTTCCAGGATAACAGAGATCGACACAAAGCGGTGTCATCTTGGGGTTCTGTTTCCGGATACTGAACCCATGGACCTTCACGGGTACACAAAGGACTCGGATGGCAATTGCACCAATGGATTGTTGGCGCTTAGGATGGGTTTTTCTGTGTGCCATGATCCATGATTTGCCTTCCATCGTGTTGCCTCCTTCCGGGGAGCTGCCATGTTTCATTTTCTGAGGTGAGCTGCCGGATTTCAACCCCATGGCGGCCTTTCGCGCAGTGCAAGGGTCCAGCCACAAAGGACGGCGGACGGCCCGCTGTGCGCCCCAAGCACCAGCACGCTCCAACAGTCCGTTTTATGAACCGCTTGGGATTTGGTGGGGTGACAGTTGAATCGAAGCCCATACCTGTTGATCCGTGGAATTCCTGGGCCTTGGGAAGGCATTGGGAGACTTTTGCTGATGGGTTTGTAAAAGTCCCACTCTCAGAGTTGTTCTGAGAGCAGGTCCGCCCCGAACAGGTCATGGAAAGGAACCTAGCAATGTCCCTTGAAATCAGGGGCGCCATCCCCGCTCTTTGCAAAAAGCCGGAACAAAATCACGTAAAATTCGTGGCGACAAACCCCAGTCGGCGATAGTGTCTCAGGATCTTGTCCTGAGCGGCTTTCCTTTGCAGGCAGCCCAGGAGGGCCCATTGAAAATTCCTTGACTAGGTCCCCCAGTAGTGCCCTTTTACCCTTTTTTGGGCTTTTTGGGTTCCCCTACTAAAGTAGACTACAGAAAAAGGGGTACCCTTATGCTAGGATTTAGTAGATGGGATCTTTCTTGGTTCCCAGTCCCCAAACACACCCTCGGGTTTCTTTCGGATTCCTTTGTGGGTGGCGCAGGATGGATGAGCGCCAGCGATCTCCACTACTGGCTCTCCTCGCAGCCCCATCCAGTGGCAAGCACCACGGCGCCAGCTTGCGAAAAGAAAAATCGTGGCGGTGGCGAATGTTGACCCCACATGAATCAACCCCAGTTTATTCATAGGGGGGTGTTCCCATCCAAAAGCACACATTTTTGTTTAAAAAAGTCAACCCCAGTTTGTTGGTAGGGGGGGTGTTCCCCTCCAAAAGTGGTCTGACTCCCCACTAAGCCCAGTTGGACACCCCCCCAAAAAATAACACTGGCCATTGCAAGTCTGCATGTCCATTGCTCTTACCCCGCCCAAGCTGGATTTGTTTTGCTTGCCAAGGCTACAAGCTGGAAGATGTGCTTGCAGCCGTCCGCCTGCGCACCGGATCCATGGAGATCTTTCCAGAGGACCTAGGAAAACACAAGCAGAGGCCGCCGACAGGTCAACGAGTTCACCAACCAATCCATCCAACTGGTTTCCTTCTTTCTGGAATCCCCCAAAGCGGTTCATTCCATTTCTCATTTTTCACCCAAGTCGCACCAGCAAGCCTTTGGTGCATTTTGCCAAGGGATGTTGGGACTGAATATATGTTTGCCAACGAAGGGGTTTTCCGTATTAAACCACTAAAAGTTTTTAACTTTTAGCAGGGAAGCAGAAAGCAACCAAGTATTTACACGCAGTTACATCCAATCACGTCTAAGGATATCTAGTTGCATCCACCCACATCAGATTATATCACTCAAGGTCATTGGTATGTGGCTAAGTGACGAAGTAGCTGGCTGGGGGCTGAGCGAAGTACCTTTGCTGGGAAGTCATATGAAGTCATTTCTTTCGGAGCAGTCATCCTGCGCCGGTATGGGTGCATGGCAGTCTCCACGGAGCGTGGGATGCTTTCAGGAGCGGGGGCCATCTTGGGGCACGGCGAATCACACGTAAAACAAGTAGAGACCAAGATCAATCTTTTTGAAACAAACGAAAGTGATTTTCGGCGTGGGTGGGAACCCTGTGCTATCACAGAGACGGTTATTTCGCTTTCGCCCGAAGATCGATCTTAGTGTCAACAGAAACATCGGTTATGGCCGTTTCTCTTTCTCGGCTTTTTTCTTGGTGGTTTGCTGTCCCGTTTACCCAAAGCGGGTTCAACTCCAAACCAATCTAAACCACCCATCCAAACCAAGGGTTACATTGTTACAGACTCTTTTCACAGACCTGGCAAAACGAACTCCAGCCATCTCCAGGCCGTGTCCGCGCCAACCGCCTGAGAGCATAAGCATAGGTGGCCTTGTTGGTTGGTTTGCTTAAGAAATAGAGGGCCCTGGTCTAGATGGGGCTTATGCCCCATTTACCAGGGACACCCATCGATTTTTCCATAAGGCCACCTATGAGCATAAGCTAAAGCCAGGACTTCGTGCGCATGACCACGCCCAACTTTCGGTCCAGCAGCTGGCTGAAGGAGCGGACGCCCGTGGCTCGATGCGAAGGAGGTTTTATGTGATACATGTGGATGGTATCCCCAGCCCCTTAAAATTGGAATTGGGGAGGAGGGTGATTTCTGGAGATCTCTACTTGTTGTTCCATTTTCCCTTTTATGGGGGAAGACTAGATAAATGGAATTGGGGACCCCCCACCCCCCTCCTCCTGAAGGTAGGGGGGATTGGATGGTATTGTCTTAGGCACCATCGAAGAAACCCCGGTTTCTGATGATTCCCCTGTAATCACACGCGAGCGTTATGGTTTCAACCATGGTTTCAACCTTTTTGAAGGAATTCGTCCATCCACAGTAGTGGCAATCAAGCTTCTGAATGGCCTGAAGTTCCTCAGAGTCACAGAGTCTTCATGTCAAGCCTCTTGAGGGGCCGAGGGAGAAGCCTCTCTGAAGATCCAAATTCCGTGCCATGGTTGGGCAACGCTTCCGGAAGATCAACTTGTGGTTTCCCTTCACTGGATGCCGTGGCAATTTCGGTCCATTTTGTTCTGGAACAGCAGGAGCTCCCCTACTGTTGAGCAAGGTTCTCACCCTCTATGAACCTCGAATCTGTCGCGAACCTGAGGGGCAAGCGTTTGCTTGCAACTGTGGCATGGAAGCTCCCAGGACCTCTTTTGGAAGACGAGGTTCCATTTACGGAGGCCTTCTGGGAGCTTCCATGTTGGCCTGAGGGAGCGTAATGAGGCCGAAACAAAAGGCGGCCCCCCCTTTGGGTTTCCCAACCTTTTGGGCGGCAGGAGCTGGCGCTGAGTCGGGGAGGCGCCATGGAGGTTTACTTCGAGAAGCGCTTGCTGCCGGAGGTGTCGTACCGCTTCTGCCAGCCGGGGCGCCCAGAGTTCTGGGCCACCCGTGACGCGTGACCTCGGACTCGGAGGCCAAATTTTCGGATTTGGTCCACCAAGACTGCCGCATTGCTGGGTATTTTCAAGGCCTGGGACAAAGGGTGGCAGTTTCCACGCCTTTCAATGTTGACCCCCTAGCTTGGTTAAACCCCCGCTGTGACTGAAGGGCCGCAGAAATTTCTACTGCGTTGTGCCGGCTCGACGCGAGGCTGTTCCTGTTGGAGCTCGACTTTGTGAACCGCTTGCGCTTTCATCAAAGGAGCCTGAGACAGGCGGGCTGGCGATTTTTTGGAGCTGACTCAACTTCCATTTTTTTTTGCTGAAAGGAATATGTTTGATTTTCCCCGGTTTTTAAGGGAATCTATCACTACTGGACGCTTTTTTTCCAAGGGTCTGAACCAAATGGAAGTCAAGAAGTACACTCCCTGTAGGCCGCCGTGTCGGGCCACAGTGTCATGAAGTACTTGGATGCGGAGGAAGGGTTCTGCGCAGGCCGGGCGAGAATTGCCCATGCAGTCACGGGGCCAGCGAGTCTGGCTCGCGGGAGCCCAGATTTCAGGGCAGTCTTCCTTTGGGGCAGGCAAACGCCTATCTCAAGCCCATTCATCTCTGTTTTTTGGTGTTCAAGCTCAATGTGGCGAACGTACAGAAGGCAACCGCGCGCTGAATGAGGCTCCTTTTCAGAGCCTCCATGAGCCACACCACTACATGTTTGTGTGTGTGTGTGTGTGTTGTTTCTTGTTGTGTGTTTGCTTGCTTGTTTAGTTGCTTGTTTGTTTGTTTTGTTTGTTTGTTTTGTTTGCTTGTTTGTTTTGCTTGTTTGTTTTGTTTGTTTGTTTTGTTTGCTTGATTGTTTTGTTTGTTTGTTTTGTTTGCTTGGTTGCTTTTGTTTGTTTGTTTGTTTGTTTTGTTTGATTGTTTTGTTTCCTTTTTTTTAAATTGTTTGTTTTGTTTGCTTGTTTGTTTGTTTTGTTTGCTTGTTTGTTTGTTTTGTTTGCTTGTTTTGTTTGTTTGTTTGGTTTGCTTGTTTGCTTGTTTTGTTTGTTTGTTGTGTTTGTTTTTGTTTGTTTGTTTTGTTTGCTTGCTTGCTTGTTTGATTGTTTTGTTTGTTTGTTGGTTTTGTTTGCTTGTTTGTTTTGTTTGTTTGTGTTGTTTGCTTGTTTGCTTGCTTTGTTTGTTTTGTTTGTTTTTTTTGTTTGCTTTTGTTTGCTTGTTTGTTTTGTTTGCTTGTTTGTTGTTTGCTTGTTTGTTTGTTTTGTTTGTTTGTTTGTTTTGTTTGTTGGTTTTGTTTGCTTGTTTGTTTTGTTTGTTGGTTTTGTTTGCTTGATTGTTTTGTTTGTTTGTGTTGTTTGCTTGTTTTCTTGTTTTGTTTGTTTGCTTTTGTTTGTTTGATTGTTTGTTTGTTTTGTTTGTTTGATTTGTTTGCTTGTTTGTTTGTTTTGTTTGCTTGTTTTGTTTGTTTGTTTTGTTTGCTTGTTGGTGTGTTTTGTTTGTTTGTTTTGTTTGCTGGTTTGTTTGTTTTGTTTGTTTGTTTAGTTTGCTTGTTTGTTTGTTTTGTTTGTTTGTTTTGTTTGCTTGTTTGCTTGGTTTGTTTGTTTTTTTGTTTGCTTGTTGGTGTGTTTTGTTTGTTTGTTTAGCTTGCTGGTTTGTTTGTTTTGTTTGTTTGTTTAGTTTGCTTGTTTGTTTGTTTTGTTTGTTTTTTTGTTTGCTTGTTGGTGTGTTTTGTTTGTTTGTTTTGTTTGCTGGTTTGTTTGTTTTGTTTGTTTGTTTAGTTTGCTTGTTTGTTTGTTTTGTTTGTTTGTTTTGTTTGCTTGTTTGCTTGGTTTGTTTGTTTTTTTGTTTGCTTGTTGGTGTGTTTTGTTTGTTTGTTTAGCTTGCTGGTTTGTTTGTTTTGTTTGTTTGTTTAGTTTGCTTGTTTGTTTGTTTTGTTTGTTTTTTTGTTTGCTTGTTGGTGTGTTTTGTTTGTTTGTTTTGTTTGCTGGTTTGTTTGTTTTGTTTGTTTGTTTAGTTTGCATGTGTGTTTGTTTTGTTTGTTTGTTTTGTTTGCTTGTTTGTTTGTTTTGTTTGTTTGTTTGTTTGCCTGTTTGCTTGCTTGTTTGCCGGTTTGCTTGCTTGTTTGCCTGTTTGCTTGCTTGTTTGCCTGTTTGCTTGCTTGTTTGTCTGTTTGCTTGTTTGCCTGTTTGTTTGTTTGCCTGTTTGCTTGCTTGTTTGCCTGGTTGCTTGATTGTGTTTTTTGTTTGCTTGCTTGTTTGCTTGCTTGATTGTTTGTTTGTGTGTTTGTTTATTTGTATTTTTTGTGTGTGTGCTTGTATATTTGCTTTGTTTCTTTGTTTATTCTTTTTTCTTCTTTTGTTTGTGCGTGTGCTTGTCAGTCTGTGTTTGTGTCGTTTGCCTCGTGTTATACGAGGCATGGGCGGCCTGCTGTGCGCCAGCGCCGTGCGGGCGGTGCTGCAGCGGGGGGTCCTGGGCTGCTCCCGGCCCATGGAGCCTCTGCTGTGCGATGCCCTGCTGAAGCGGATCAACCCCACGGACCGCTGGGACTCGAAATCTCGGTGCCTGAGGGTCTTTCGGGAAAAAGGTTGACCCATAAACCCGTCCTAGGGGGGTGTTCCCTCCAAAAGTGGTCTGAATCCAACCACTAAAAGGGGACACCCCTTATTAATCAACCGAGGGTCTTTCTATCCATGGTGCCTCAAGGGCCTCACTTTACTCACTTTCATGGTGGAATTAATTCGATTTTGGTGCCACCATGTCGGGAATAGACGGCTGCGGAGAAGTGGGCGGACGGTTTTGGTCAGTGAGTTGGCCCAGGGTCCAGGGTCCAGGAGTTCGGTCCGCGGCAAGGTGTGCGGTCGAGGATTCAAATCATTTTCAGATGGATCATGGCGAGCTGGGTTCTGAGATTATGTCGGGACTGTGTTCGGAAGCCAAGGGCAGACAAGCGGGGCAAACCTTGTTCGGGCGTTTCCGGCCGCTTCGAGGATGCCGCCTTCTTCCCGGGCGATAATTTGGGCCGGCTGTTGGATCTGGTGGTACCCAACTCCGGTACCTACACCTCCTGGGCGGACCGGTCCTGGGCGGACCGGTCCCTGGACCGCTCCATGGATCGCCTGGACCGCTGGGAGCGCGAGTTCCGGCTCTCCCCCGCCCGGGCCACCAGCCCGGCGCGCCGGGCCTCCAGCCCCGCCCGCAGCCCGGCCCGCAGCCCGGACCGGAGCTTCGACCGGAGCTTCGAGCGGAGCTTCGAGATGTCCCCCAAGACCCCGTCCACGCCGCTGCCGGACTACCTGACGCCGGACCTGCGCCGGAAGAAGCTCTTCGACTCCTGGGCCTCGCCGGTGCGCGCGGCCTACTCGCCCATGTCGGAGCTGTCCACTCAGGACCCGGGCCTGTCCATGGACCGGAGCTTCTTGGACTACCAGTCGCCCACCTCGCCTTACGCAGCTCGGCGCGCGAGTGTCCGGCGCTGCTTCGATGATCGTGCCACACCTGAGGCCTCCGCGCTGCGGGCATCCAGTCCTTTCCGGGCAGGCACGGGCCTCAAGTGAAGTGGGCGAGTCGCACTTCGAGTCTTGAACAGCCTGCCGCAAGTGCGACGGATCTTTACGGATCGCCAGGAAATGTTTGAAACCATGGTTGAAACCATCATTTGTTTTTGTATTTACGGGGGAATCATCATCCTAGGGTTTTGTAGGTGGTTCGAAAAGGTTTTCGCCCACCCACGATGAATCCCGGTCGCCGGTAATCGCTGGGAGGCTCTGCCTCTCCGGGCCCTTCGCCAGCACTGGGCGGCCCCACGCGATCCTCGCTCTTCCTCGGAAGCCGCGCCCTTTGGCGACTTTTAGTGCTTGGAGCCGCTTAACTTGGCGTTTTTCTGGTTTTCTCCCAGCGAATCGTCCGGTTCCTTATGGGTTAATGGTTGCGGTTGCCCAGCGAATCGTCCGGATCTTGAGTTGTTTTTTCCCCCGTTTTGGGCTGGTTTAGTGGTTGGGTTTCCATTCAACCCACTGAAAGTTTAAATTTGTTGCAGGGGATCCGAGGACAGCCCCGTTAAATGGTTGGTCACAAATCCACGCCCAAATGATGTCCAGAGGGTCCCTAAAGACAAACATGACAACAAAAACAATGAGGATGGCATAAAGACTGGTCATGATTCAACACCAATGGTACCATTTTGGGATGGGTGCACCACCCCGTTTTAGTCTATTTTAGTGGGGATTGGGATGTTCACTGGAGGTACGGGGTTTTGACCCATGGCCGCAGTGGCATTGAAGATGTAAAAGTAATTGGCCTCGCCCTGCTTCGCACTGAGGAGCACCACGCCATGCAGCAGCCGCTTGGTGCTTCAGGAATTTCTCGGCAAGTACTGGGGGCAGGAATTTGACCATTTCTGGCAGTTGTCAAAGTCAGAAACTGGGATGGTTTGCGTTTAGCCTACCACTTCGGGGGTGACTTTGATACTGAGCCAGACGTACCCCGCTACGCCCAGGGATGTGCTAGAATCACGGTGGAACGAGCGACAACGAGCTTCGTAAAGCCTCGGCGTGCCCAGGACATTGCAGGTGATGGCCCGCCAGGCCAAGCTGGATTCGCAGGCCCGGATTTGCAGCCTGCTTCTCAGGGCGTGGCGTGCAAGCTTGTCTATCGCGGGAAGCTTTGTAATGAGAAGCCAAGATGAAGAGCACGTGCTGTACGTTCTTGTCATCCATCATTTTGGCCCGCCAACTGGAGAACTGGAAATCAGTGTGCTTGTCTTGCCTCTTTTCTTCTTTTGTTTTGGTGGGGGGGGGGAACCAGTGAACATTGTGATTTTCCTTGTGGCTTTCCCTTTCAAACCACCCAAAACTAGAGGTGCCAACTTTGTTGGCCAAGACAGCGGCTAAGCGCCAGAGAGTCCTGGGCCCAGAGGCTCCTAATTTGAGTCCTGCGGGATAAGCACTTGAGAGAGAGACTAGATCTTCCGGCCAGGTGCCTGTTTTAAGCCCTTTTTTTGGTTGGGAGATTCGGTTCCCCTTCTAAAATAGGCTACAGAAAGAAAATCGGGTGCCCTTATTCTAACCTCTCAAATCTGGAGGACCTAGTCAAAGAACCCGTTTCTGACCCGTTGGTTCCAGCGGGGGCTTTGCGGCAGGTGGAAGACCTGAAGAGTTTGCTGCCCGCCTGCTGCACCACAGAGGAGGTCTTCGCAGAGCTCGACGCCCGGCGAAGCGCTTTCGATTCGAGTCGGCGGGCTTCGGAGTGCTCCTTGCGGGCTCCGTTGAAAGCGGGCGTCCCTTTTTGGGGTGCGTCTTTTTGGTTAGGGGGCCCCCAAAATGAGTGGGTTTCCTCGACTGAAAAACAAAAAATGTTTGAAATCTAAAAACTCAGAACCCAAATGGTTCGGGTCCAAATGGAGTACTCATAGGAGCGTTAGCTGAAACCATCCGGAGATTTGGCTCATGTTCGGGAGTCCCACAGTCCCACGATTGCATGCGATTGGAAGCTGGACGATTGGAAGACCAAGTTCCACGGCCCCACGGAGACTTTGCCAGGTACGTTCGGTGTGAGGGATCGGCGATGGGTCATGAGAGGCGTCTCATCTAAGGACACTTTGAGGGCTAGCTATGTGAGCCTGAGCGACGTGCGCCGCTTCATGTTCAGCCTCTTGGCACAGGCTGCGAATGATAGCTCAACAGCAAACCTGTCCTGATCGGTTTTCATACAATCCGTTTGATGGCCGGGCAGGTTCGCTATTGAACGCGTTTGGGCTTCGTTTGGGGTTGAGCTCAGCACCACTCTACAAAGTCCGGCGCACACACCGCACTCTTGCGACGGACCTTTGAGCTGGAAGGCACCGACGGCCTTTAAAGGAGGTCTGTCTGCACCCCAACGGCACGCCGGACCCCGGACGCTGCAGAATCCAGGGGTTTTCATACGCAGATGGTTTTCATGGTAGTGTTTTCCCGAGCTGCCGCTGGTGGTCACCTTGGCCGCTGGGCCGAGGCTTCGGCTTCACCGTGAAGTACGCCAACTTCTCGGCTCTGGTCAACGAGCTGCACCTCCGCCGCAAGATCTTCACGCGGCACTCGCTGAAAGGCCGACCGCTCGGAGCGCTCGGGTTGGAGCGCCCGGTTGGGGTGACGGGGCCAGGTTTGGCCTCCGAACACTCTAAAGGAATGGAAAACGGCTGCTTGATGTTGCGATGGTTGGTGTTCAGTATTGGGTGTCGTTTCTTCTTCTTTTTTTGCCAGCTTGTCATCACCGTAGGGCTGGATCCGATTGGAGGTTGCGTGGTTGATTAGGCGCCCAACGATGAGGAGTCACACGTAAGCACGGCACCTCCAAAGTTGTGACTCCTTGACGGAGGTGTCCCTTGCAATGCGTAAGGCGCTTAAATCCTACAGGGCCCAAGCATGGGCCGCGCACTCTTGCTCGCGAGTGCGCAGGCTCGCTCATGCTTCCAGACAGCTTGGACTTGCGCGACATCGCCGTGTTGTCTCTGCCGCTGTCCAGTGAGGCTTGCCAGGCCGCTGAGAGTGAGAGATATGGCGGGAGCCGGGAAACGACTGTAAGACAGGCCTTGGCATGTGGGAACATGCCATGTGGCTCAGCTCTTTGCCTTTGAAGGTCTGCAGGCCGGAATGCTAAGTCTGATTTGCAACGCCCCGAGCATTGGTTTCGGAGATAGCGGGTGCCACTTGGCAGGCCGTCATGTCCAGCAGCACCGACGAGGAAGCGAGGTCTGTTCTGTACCTGCTGCTTGCATCGGTGTCATGAAATCCGCCACGCGGATCTTTTCAGTTGCAAGGGAAGCCCTCCTGTTGGACAGTTGGGGATGTAATGGCGGGAAGCAGGCGCAACCCTATAAGTGGCGCGTGTCCTGTTCAGACCCCTAGCAGTCAAGGATTCCCCGAAAGAAACCACCAAGCTTTCGTTTGGGTCTGTCCAGACTGGTGGCTTTCCTTTTGGTGTCCCTTTAAAACCAACCAAAAAGGGTACCCGCAAAACGAATCATCCCCATGAGTCCATATGAGGCATTCAGATCAAACCCAGATCGTGGGAAGTCCCTCAAAACATATGCCGACTCATCCTTCTGAGTCCGTATGAGTGATTACCACAAAAGGGAAACCTAGATTTCGGGAGGTCCCTCAAAAAAAAGAAGACGCTGCTTCCATGTTTTTTTTCCGCAGACGCCTACCCGAGGCTGCGCACTTCGGAAGCCTGCCCTGGCTGCGGCACGCGGGCCCAGCGCAGTGCCGACGCCGCGGGCTGCCCCAGCGTCACGTGCCCGGTGTGCCGGACCGGCTCGACGACTCCCACGCGCGAATGGATCGCAGGGTCATGCGCCCGGAAAGGTTTTGGATGGTTTTGGGGGGAACTGCCCAACGCCGACCTTTAAACTTTGCAGGTGTCCCTTTTTGGGTTCACTTTTAGTCAAGGATCCAAAAGGTTGATCTTGTATGTCCAGCTCCTGTGGGAAGCGAGGGTTGGGTTTTAGAACCCTTAACATTCATCCAGCAAGCTTTGCGGTGCATGTTGAAAGGCATCGGGACTCACCAGCCTTTGCAGGACACCGTTCAGGTGCTACCACGTCGCAGGCGACCGTCCCGAACCCAGCAACTTGGCAAATGCGGCATTGCCACAACGGCCTCATTCGCTTCTTGAACCTAGGCTATCCACTGACAGCGACCGCCAAGCCGCTTGGATGCATCTCTTGTCAAGTTTGGCTCGCGGTTGATTCTTGCACGGGCCTGTGGGAAACGGAGCCCACTTCTGTGATACAACAAAAAATTAAGGCTTCTCAAAGTCGAACCCTCCCATAATTATAGGGGGAGATTCCCAACAGTAGCGCAGAAGTGGACAAAACTTTGAGTGCTCAACCCCAACCCGGTTCTTGCATCTATTCTTGGTCATGTTCTTCCAAAGGTCCCATGAAAGGTCCCGCAGGTTCAGAGACGGTCCGAGACAAGCCTTACAGCCCTCGCCTCGCTCAAAGGAATCACCTCTACCGCCTCTTCGGGGCCGCCCTGGAGGCCGCTGAGGAGCTGGAGCGGGACCGCCGCGATCTCGCCGCCTTCCTCTCCCACGAGCGGCTCAGAGAGAAACGGGGGAAGTCGATTCCCCGATTTCTCATGTTCCCCCCCCCCCCGATGGCATGGATCCTAAGCTACATGAAAATCCCCCTGGCACCATGCCGCTAATCTTGCGAAAATCATGTTCCCCCTCTTTATTAGAAGTTAGAACCCCAAGAGTTGTTTCAGCTATCTGGGGAACAACAACACATGCAGGGCCACATGCCCGCATCTCGCAGCTCAGGATTTGCGGGCTTTGCGACGTCTTTGCGGCTTTGGCTTCGGGACGTGACAGCTCCTTACTTGGCATTGGCATCGGGGGCTGTTTGCTGCAGCGCCACCTGTGCGGAATCAGAAGCTTTCTTGCCTAAAGCCGACCTTTGGATCTTCTAGCTCCCCCTTGGTCATGTCTTTCGTCACCCAGCAGGTCCACTTTCTATGTTGGTGTCCTTTGAGCAACTGAGAGAGCGCATTATCTTGCCTAAAGCCGACCTTTGGACCTTCTAGCTTTCCCTTCTTGGACATGCGTGGCTCGTCATGGACCCAGAAGGATAACCTTGTTGTGTGTTTGGTCCTTTGGGCACCTGAGAGAGCATGTAACGTGGCATCAAGCCGACACGCCGGGAAGGCTTGCACAGGGGCTTGCATGCGCGCTCGTGCAGGGCCACGCTGCCAGCACACTTGCGCAGAGCAAAGGCTCTCTTTTCACATACGAGCCTCATGACTTCTCAGGGTTTCCAATGGTTCCCTTTTCTCTCTGCGCATCACCGAGGTTCCTTGTGTAACGCTGAAAGTTTATATATAGAGATATAATCTATATGTGTATTTATTGAGTTTATGCATTCATTCATCATTCATTCATTCGTTCGTTCGTTCGTTCGTGCATTCATTCACTCACTCACTCACTCACTCACTCACACACACACATACACACACACACACACACATATATATATGTATATATTAGTGTGTGTCGGCTGGTGTCCTTTTTGCTACCCCCACCCCCCCTCGACCCTAGAAAGCACCCGGGAGCCTTTGGCCGCGCGCCCGAGGCTTGGGCTTCTCCCAAGCGGACCTCCGCCGTGCCTTCGCCACCCAGGGCCTGCCGACCCCGCCGGGAGAGCAGTGGGACCTCCTGCGGCTCAGCGGAAGTGGCAATTTCCCACGGGACCAAGAGGAGGTTTTGACGCAAGCGTGATATATTTCCCCTTCTCCCTCCTTGGCTTACATGCAAATTTAACTGCCTTACAAAGCACACACTGCTTCATGCCTGATTTAATACAGGTAAGAGTGCGGGGACCACGAGGAACACCGAAATGAGCAGCTGAGTAGCTGGGACCTCGCGGTGAATGACCGAAATGCTTGTTAATAATGAAAACCAGATTCGGACATGGCCAATGGGACTTGATGCGACGGGAAGGTGTCAGCGTTCGAAGTTTTGCTTCATTCCATGCACGTTTCCTTTTGGGGTTGGACACATTGGAATTCGGTTGTCTGTGGGGTTGAGGGGGTTGTAGGAGCTGGTGTGTTGAACGTGCTGGAAAAGCGCGGGTGTTGGAACAGACTTTTTTCCAGGTAGGGGTCCCGGAGTTTACACTTTAGGTGAAGGCTGAAATGGAATTCGGGGAGGGGGTGACCCCGGAATTCCATGAATGGTGCTATGTTCCTTTTTATGGGGAAGACTAGGGAATTGCAGGAGCCCCCACCCCCCCTCCCCAGCAAGGTAAGGGGGATGAGACATGTAGCTTCCACATCTACAGTGCAATGCCTGCAGCACAGCAGTTGCAGTAATGGAGTGGTCTTGCATGGCTGAGTTGTCATGCCCCCCCTGGTATTCACTCGAGTTGCAATGCGTTAAGAGAGATAATCCGGTTTTCTTCCACGGAGACGCGTGCCGAACGCATACGTCACATGTCTCACGAGTCACATGTCTCTCCGCGTCGGTCACCTGAGGTGGCGCAGATTTGCCGCGGCCGACTCCAGCACCGTGACCTTTTTGGACTTCAAAAGCCAGCTGCAACCTTTTCTTTGAAAAGGCGATCTCCGCCAGCGCAGACAGAAGGGGAAGCAGTGCGAGACAGGCAGAAGGGGAAGCTGCCCCATTTCCATTCTTTCCAGGGATCCTTCTGTTCAGGAACCACCAAAGACCCGGGGAAACAACTGTTTTTTTTAGAAAAGAGCGATGCTTGAAAAGAATTGGCGCCCAAACCCTAGAACAGATTTCAGATCACTTGGGCCAATGGGCAAAGTAAAGCAGCAGATTGGCTCAAGGCCCCAGAAGCCAATTCCAAGTCAGAAAGGATGGTCCTTGACATGCGCTTGACCCTTGGTGACTGCAGGCCTGTGGAACCGCATCGGCTGAGCTCGCGCGGTTCGGGACAGAGCGAAAGGCCACTGAAGAGCAAGCACTTACCGCTGCTGCAAACTTGTGTATGTGGCTTTGCTGGCACCTCTTGCTACAGTATAACAGCCCTGCAAGCCACACCAAAATTCCAAACGTCCAAAAGCCCAAGGCTCTTCCACACGACAGGCCAAGCTTTTTTGGCGTGGCTTCTCTGTACTTTGCTTTTTCCTTGGCCCTCAAGTCGGAGACCGGTCCGAGCGACGCGAGCGACTGCGCCGGCTTGAGGCTGTCGGTTTTAAGCCTCCCGCAGGCCTCAGAGGCTTCAAAGCGCCGGATGGCATGGCACTGACTCTCTCAGCCGCTCTGGAAGCAGAGCAGGTCGAGGAGCACAAAGCGTGAAAGCTGGTTGGATCTTTTGGCTGGAGTTTGTTGGTTGAATCTAAGGGTTTTCCATTGCGCCCAAGAAAATGTTGGACTTCTTGCAAAGGGCTCAACAGCAACCAAACGCCACCAAGAAAGGTTGAAAGCCAGACGCACACAACCCGACGTTCGAGCTTCTTCCTCTGTGGTCCAGCGGCTTTTCTCGTGACCTTCGTGGCCAGCGCCAAATTGGTCCATACGCCAAGGCGATGACACGGAGAAACGGGAGAGCCGAGATGGGAGGTCACTTCGGTTTCGCATTTTCCAGTCCGTATGTGAAAGCAAGTAGTGAACTCCCATGGCCACGATTGGCCATTGATTGGTGACAGTGGAAGGCGTTTTGTCTTCCAGCTGGTCTTTGTGCGATGCTTGTCCGAAAAAAGTCGTGTGCAACGATGCTTGGACCGAAGGATGCCTGAACTGAGGGATGCTGCAAGAAGCGTAGCAGAACGTTTCGGAATGCGGCACCCTCACCAGATACGATGCGGTATTGTGCCCTTCTTGGATGGTTGGTAACAGTCGGGATAATGATTCTGAGGCTCGTGGGCCCGATACCTTGTAATTTAAGTGGCTGGGCTGGCTGGCTTTTCTGTGTCGAGGAGACGTGCAATGTCAAGATGCGGTTTTCCAAGATTTTGGTATGACAGGCATTTCGTTGTGCTGATGCCAGCAATGACAATCCGCCACAAGCTGATTTGGGCAGCCATGTTGGCAGAGCTGACGCAGGCAGCGACGTTCGGAAATCACTTGGGCAAGACGCAGCCTTCACAACACGCTCTAAGTAGTGGGATTCCGGACTTGCCTTGTATCCGGTTAGAGGTTTGGGCAGTGCTTGCATTAGATGCAGGCACAACATGGAAACCATGCTTGCTCAATACTGTTGGCGTGGGACAATTTGGCTGGCTTTGGGCTTTGGGCCGCCAGTCCAGAGCTCTTTCTGAGGGAGGGCCAGGGCCATGCATTTTGGGTTTATTACCCATCACACAAATCGACTCGCTCGCATGTCGACGCAGCTGTGCCGGCCCTGTGGTTCCTTAATGGGGCAGAGCAATGGTGGCCTTTGCAGGCGCCACCAGTCAGCCAGTGGCGCTTGGACGACCCACTTGCGTTAGCAATGTAATCACTTCTCCGCTGTGGACGAAGGGTTCACCTCAGAACCATGGCCTGCTCCTCTCTCCCCAACGCTTCCCCCTCTATCTCAGCTGCCTGCTCTTGCCTGGTTCTCCTCACAGATAGTGTGGTGACCCCTCATTCAACCAAATCACTGGGCTTATCCCCTTTGCAAAAACATGCGATTTGGATGGCTTTAGTGTACGTCTTGGAGAATTGGTTGCTTTCCCCGGGGCTGTGCCTTAGGGCTAGGGTGAAATGCGCCTTTCGACCTCCATTTAGGACCCTCAAGGGTCGGAACCATGATGCAAACTCGCCAAGCCCTGCGCAACTGCCAATTCTTGGCCCGATGTTGAGTGGTCAAACAACATGAAGGCATTGACGAAAGGCTTACTCCTATGACGCATGAAATGCGATTCTGCAAGCGCACGGTGTGGTCTGAATTGAAAAACAAAGATCGTGGGCACGGGTTTGATGCTACCGCTTTGCGAGCTGTTAGATAGCAACGGTTTATGGAGAAACAGGGAGCAGCCCATACTGTGGATGGACGACATCCTGCACAACTTTGAAACCATGGGAAAGCATTAGCATTGCTTGGTATTTACAGGGGAGTCGTAATTCCAGGGTCTCTGAGATGTCGCAACCATCCACAGTATGATCCGTGGCGAAGTCAGGATTCATCTCCGCCGCATTCGCCGTCCTCTTCTTCGGCAGCAACTACACCGATTCGGCCTTGGCTTCTTCTCATGGGCGCCAGTTGTAGCGAAGTTATGCCATGTCGCTCGCCTTTCAAGGTGGTAGCCAAATATGATGCCGGAGATGGCATGCTGTTTCAGCTCGTGAATCTTGACTCAAGTTCCGGCCCATGTGCATGATTGTGCATGTGTTCCTTTTCAGTTTGCTGCTTTGCCGAAGCTTTTTGCGCGCTGTGGCTTGTATTGCGCCTCCTTCACGTGCCCAAAGAGAATGACACCTATCAGGACAGCGGGTGCATGACACTTGCCTGAAACAGATGCCTTGAGGCTGTGCTTGGGCATCTGGGTCACCGGGTTGGTCGTGCTGGTCATGCGGGGCAGCCCTGCCTTCTATCCCGTGGCGATGTGCGGCGGAGTCCTCTGGGGCACCGGGAACTGTATGTCAGCCTACATCATACGCCGCACTGGCCTTGGTTTAGGACCTAATTTCCGACGGGCGCATGGAGATTTAATCAGTTCCTGTAAAACTTGTCACATGGCCATGAAGCATTTTGACTGGTTTTGAAGGTTCTCCCCAAAGACGTTTCTGGCAGCCACTGGGGTAGCAAGCCTTGATCGCGTAATTTCCCCCTTTTGCTGGCGAGGTGTCTACCTTTTGCCGGTTTCTGTTCTGTTTGCCTTCGGAATGTGCCATAGTTTGGTCTGAGCTTGTTGGGGCATCAACTTAGTTTACCCTCCCACCAATCAACATGGAACCTGACGCTCGGGGGGTCCTGGTTGAGGCCATGCTCCTTTTACAGGGAGCCATTTTCCCGGGTTTCCGGCTGTGAGTTTTTCCCATGGCCCATGGATGCAGCGCCTTGCGATGGCAGGACTCGTCACCTGGGGCTCCACTGCTCTGATCATCGGCTGGCTCACCGGCTTCTTTGGGCTCTTTGGCTTACCCAGCGCAGCTCGGCGCAAGAAGCTGCCGGAAACCTCGGGGGCGTTTAAGAGGGGGCCAGCCAACGAAGGGGTCAGCGTAAGAAAACGAGACGCGCGCGGAGAATTTCGGAGAATGTGTGCCAGTCCTATGATCTTTCACCGGTGAAGCACTTCTCAGTGAGTTTCACGGGGTCGTTTGCTTCTGGGCGCTTGCTTTCAGGAGCAGCGATGCCTGGACCAGCCTTGGCTCAATGTGGTTGGCGCCCGGCCAAATCAAGGGCTGAAAGTGAAATGCAGCTTGAAGTGAGCATGTTGGCGGTGCTGTTTAAACAATGGGCGGGCTACTCTTTGATGACATCCTACTAGGACTTGGAAAGCGATAGGCGTCTCACCAAAAGTGAGATGAATAGATCCGTCTGAAGCAGTGTTGCCGGAGGCTCTTTTAACTCAGGGGCTTGGCAAGCTGAGAGAACCAGAGGAAGAGCCCAAGGCTTTGGATTGGCAATCGCCGCGCTGGGAACCAGCACCCTCATCAGGTGGGCCTGCTGGCAAGCCCCGCTTCGGGTGTGATTCGTGCAAGCGTTGGATGCGAGAGGAAGACCCCAGCTCAGAAGCTCCCCGGCGGGAAGGAGGAGACTCCGTCAATCGCTGCATGATGTTTCAAGGCGCTCTTGCGCCATGAAAAACTAAGCACCGAGAAAAGTGGCCTACCAGGCGTTCTGCTTCTGTTTTTTCTCGTGGTCCCTGAGACTCTCAGCCCACGTTCGATGTCCGCCTTTTCCGGGTCTGATTGGTGACAATCTGGGTTGATCAAGAGGTCCTTTGCGTGGCACCATGGGAAACAACAACGCTACCAAAAACAAAAGTATGATGTTTGAGCCCCATGGGAAAGTTACCCACGGGGGAAAACTGGGACCGAAGAATGGCATAGTGATATCAACCCTATGTCGTTTGTTTCTCAATATTGGAATCGGTCACAAACTTTGTGGATGGGAACCCAAAAGAACACCATCCACCTGAACAAACTCCACATGACTCAACCCCAGTTTATAAACAGGGGGGTGTCCGATTCTGAGAGAAATGTGGGGAGTCAGGCCGCTCTAGGGGGACACCCTATCAATCTACTGGTGAGTAATCTTGGTACCTCCCATCCATCCCCTTAGCTCTTTAGATCCTTTTGTTGTTTAGTGGTTGGATTTCCCATTTCCCCCACTAAAAGTGAGTCACTTTTCGCGGGGGGTCTGAAAACGGGCAGCCCAGTAATTTCACCAAGTCGATACCATAGGAAACCATTGTTTGTTGGTATTTACAGGGGAATCATAAGTCCAGGGTTTGCTAGGTGACCACCTCAAAAAAAAACTGGAATGATTTGATTCCCCTGTAAATACCAACCAACCATGGTGTCCAAGACATATTTGTGTCTGGACGTGTGAGTGTTCAGAGTTGCTTATTGGTGATACTGTGGTTGGACGAAATCCATGTCGCACCACTTGGAAACCATTTTTTGTTGGTATTTGCCGGGAAATCATCCTTCCAGGGTCTCTGAGGTGGTGCGAAATGGATTTCGTCCATCCACAGTATGAAGTGGTGCAAGCGGAGAACCGCCACCACCGCGTCGGATTTGGCCAGGAGCCCAAAGAACTCGAGGCCAGCTCCTGGGAGAGAACCAAGGGGATTCTGGCAAGCTTGTCTGCCGGAACTTGCCTCTTGGAAAAGAGGTCTTTTTTTTTTTGGGGGGGGGGGTTGGTCATGTGCGGAGTGGGCCGTTTTTTGTTGTTTTTTTTTGGGGGAGGGAGTTTTTGGCAGGGAAGAGACAACATGCTGCTGTGCTTCGGGTTTTCCAGAAAAACATTGAGTTTGGGTGTGTTGTTTTTTGAGGGAACCCACGAAATGAGTTGTTTTACCCTTGAGACAACCCCGAAACAGGTGCCCTTAAACCACACAGTCGATGACCATGGGTAGTGAACGTCTTGAGGCTATGGCTTCAATTTCTTGCCATCGACCTGGATCCAACACCACGTGACCGATTCCTCCAAGGAGGGCTTGGACTACGCCGGGCCCTTACATCCAATGTCTCCCAAGGTCCCAAAAAAGTGGCACGCATGTTGTCAGGTCTTCAACCAGCTTCTCAGCCCACAGAATGATGTCAAGGGCGGCATGTCGCTGCATGTTGCTTTCAATGTGAACGGCATGTGAGAAGCCGGGCGTGCCGTCGAGTCGAGGTTCTGTGGCATTACATTTGCCTCCATTGTGCAACTTAGCACGATGCAAAGCGATGCGCTGGCACACATTGAGGTGCGTGAGTCACTGAGGTACTTCATGGTATATTGCCTTTGGAAAGGGAACAAGCCACAAGTGAATCCGGAAATTTTCCTGCCCGGCTTCGTTTCAGGACTTGCCCCATGCATTTGAACATTGTCAAGCTCATGGCGCGTTCAAACTCATGGCACGTTTTCTCATGAGAGTGAAAGCATTGTGCCTCCACAATTTGTGCAAGGAGTGATGTGGGGCATAGCGCAGTCTTTCTACTTTATAGCTAATGTGACCCTCCTGCATTGAACACTATGTGGGCGATTGCTGCCATTAACCAACGTGCAACGTGCAGTTGCGCCAGCCGAGGTAGAATTAGGCTACTCAGCCGCGTTTCCAATCATGTCAATCGGCCCTGGCGTCATTGGATCTATGTGGTCTGTATTCGTGTTCAAGGACTTCCGTGCCCGCCCGCGTGCTTGCACGACATCTCGAAAGACTTATGGGTCAAAATTAAACCACCAGGGGACCGCGGGTTTTCGTCCATGTTTCCATTTACCAGGGTTCCAATTCGGGTACCTATTCTTGACCCACAGACACTTCCATGATTGAAATATGAATGTAGTCGGAGAACCCTATTCAATGCCATTTGTTTATCTCCAGTTCGCCTGGAGTGAAGCAGTGAACTACCAGGTGCACGCATCGCAATTGCTGCGTGTAGAGCTTCATCTTTTTGGCTTATTGTCAAGCGGCCAATGCCCGATGCAGACCTAGTGGATTCAAGTGCTCGTTGCTGCATTTCGCTGTTGGGCAACGCTGGCACATGATTGCAGCCCGCGTCCGGCACAGTGATGGGGGTCAAGTAGCTTGGTATGGTATGTGTAGACAACAGGACATCCAAGGCCGAAGGAGCCTTGCCTGAATCATAGATGGTCCGAGCAGTGGTAGAATAGCATCGCTTCGCAACTTACTAAGGAACCATGTGCTGCTGGCATTGTACTTCAAGCTGGCCATCGCATCCTGCATATGCATCGTGGTGTCCAGAAAAGCTTCCGGCACCTGTGATTAGCAAGCGGCTCGGCGCATACACAAAATGCAAAGTGCGGGTTCTGAAACTGAAGCTTGTTGTCGCTGAGTTATGTCACGCGCTTGTGGCAGACACCGAGGATGGAGGTTTGCGTCCTGCACACTTCAATTTGGCAAATGGCAGGAATTGCCTGTCACTGCAATTTTTGGAACCGAAGTGTCAGTTCCGAATTAGAAGTTTTGTGAAGGCTGCAGCATTTGGCTGACATCTTCCAACGAGCTTATGGTGAAGCCAAGCTCGTTCATAATTTCGAGCCTGGTGCTGTTTTGCAAGGGGGGGTGAGTTACGAAGGCCTGCCTAAAAAACAACTGGCCCGCGTGAAAATCCTTCAACTTAACAAGTGCTCGCAACGGGCTGCTTGTCAGTTGGCACTAAGTCATATCGTATCTGACCAATATCTTTCCAATCATCAAGCTTTTGCGATGTGTTGTTGTGGTTGTTCTTGTTCTTGTTCTTGTTCTTGTTCTTGTGGTGGTTGTGGTGGTTGTGGTGGTTGTGGTGGTTGTGGTGGTTGTGGTGGTTGTGATGGTTGTGGTGGTTGTGGTGGTTGTGGTGGTTGTGGTGGTTGTGGTGGTTGTGATGGTTGTGGTGGTTGTGGTGGTTGTTGTGGTTGTGGTGGTTGTGGTGGTTGTTGTGGTTGTTGTGGTTGTTGTGGTTGTGGTTGTTCTTGTTCTTTTGTTCTTCTTGTTATTCCTCTTTTTTACTGTTATTCTTGTTCTTCTTGTTCTTCTTCTTGTTCTTCTTGTTCTTCTTGTTCTGCCTGTTTTTCTGGTTGTGATTGTGGTTGTGGTTGTGGTCGTTGTTCTTGTTATTGTTCTTGTTCTTGTTGTTGTTGTTGTTGTTTGTTGTTCTTTGTTGTTGGTTGTTGTTCTATGTGGTTGTTGTGGTAGAATGGGTTGATTTTGTGAAAATTTGTTGGATTTATGAAAATTTATAACAATTTCGGGAAAGGTTGGTTAATTCTAGTACTACGATTACTATTGATGATGATATTTAACAAACTACACTTCGAATATTGATTGGCGGGAATTTTAGATATTTTGAGGTTATATTATGGGTGTATCGGAATTTATGATTTGTTGGATATTATGAATTGGGGTGATTGAATGTGATTTGGTATAATTATCGGATTGAATATATGTTATTTTTGGTATATATTTGGGTTTAGTGGGTATTAAATTGGGGTATATTTATGTAATATCGTGATTTGGTATGGTTTGGCACGATTTAATTGTAGGAGAATTATCGAATATATATTTGTCGAATAATATTTTTGGAAAAAAATAAAATAAAATATTGTTTGGAGTAATATTGGCTTTGTAAATCCTAATGTTCTTTTTTTAGTTTAATGTTTGTGAATATTGGTAAGTATTAATATTGGAATGTTTGGAATTATTTATAATTAAATATAAATAGGAATTAAGAAATATAATTAAATTTTAATAATTAAATATTTGTTATAATAAATCGATAAAAACATTATAAATTCTTTATTGGAGTGGATAGATTTTTTTATTATTATTAAATAACAATTTTGGGTTTTAATTATATTAATATATTTATAAATTATATATAAAATTTATTAATAGAATTAATGTTTTAAATTATATAATTGGAAAACATTTATTAATACAAATTCATTAATTTATAATAAGGTAATATAATTATTGCAAAATTAAATTTACTCTAAACAATAATATACTCGTTTGTTTTTCCGGAAAATTGGTTCGGATTGCCCTTGGAAAATATTCGCTTAGATATTTTGGGATAATTATCCATTATTTTTTGAAATATTAATATTTTAAATATTTCGGGAAATATTATCGTCGAAATATCCGGAATATTTCGGAAAAATGATTTAGAATATAAATATCGAAATATTCGGGATATTTTGGAAAAATTGTCCGGGCATTAAACGAAACCGTTATGGTTTTTAGATAAAGAATTGGGGCATGTATCTGTTTGTGCCTAACTGTTTTGGTTCAAATCTTATAAATCGTGTCCGATTAATATAATTAATAGTGTGTTTTCCTTTACACCCGAAATTTTTTGGTCGATTATATTTTCATTTGCGCTTATAACAATTATATAGATGGATCTTTTGAGATTAATATCCCCATAGATCCGTTTTGAGCTTGCTCAGGCAATCGCCTTCACTAACTCTTTGGCATGACCTTATCGCGACGACAAATTTTTCGTATACGAAAAATATATATTTTTAATATATATAATTGTCTAAGTTATATAAAATATCTTATCAGCACGGACTCTATATAATTTTAGATTAAAAATCAGAAATAATTATTCCAACATTTAATATATGTTATAATTTATATATAAAAAACAATAATTTAAGCAAGAATTTTTAAATTCTTTAATATTTATAATAAAATATATTAATATTTAAATTACAAAAACATAATTTATCGGCATAAATTCTATAAAATCCATTTTATTTTAAATAAATTATTTTTTTTTATTAATATCTACAACATTTTATTTAATATAATATTAACCCCTAAACATTCGATATACAATATTTTTCGCAAAATATATAATATAACAAATATTATTAAAAATTATAAATTATATAATAAAAAAAATATTTTCTTCAAACCAATTCAAATATTTTAATAAATACAAAATTTAATTTTCAATAAAACACAATCTATATCTCAAAACCAATCAAAAATTAATTAACCAACATAAATAAATCAAACCATTTATAATTCCGTCTTTTTTATTATTATTAATAATTTAGTCTTCATAGATAGATTAAAAAAAACAATATCAACATTTGTTTGTTCTTGTTTGATGACTGGCGCCTAAAAATGCCCAAACATTTTGATTTTCATTGTTGTATCTATACAACGTGCACTGCCAACATTGGGAAGCCTTTCTCAATCATTGGACCTTGCCAGTGCTTGCTGCCTTCCCAATGTGGCCATGTGGGAGCATTCGCCCGAGGGTGAAACTTTTCAGGGCTTTGGCGAGTCGACTCTTCGGCTCTTTACTTTCAGGGGCAGGGTATTTAGTAAGCGGTTTGTAAGCCACTTAGGAGACTTATAGCCATGGCAAGTGGGTTATAACCTGGCTTAGCAAGTGGGTTATAACCTGGCTTACAAATCACTTACTAAGTACCCTGCCCCTGCAAGTATCATGAAAGTCAAGTCGATCTCAGCAAAGTCGTCGCCTCAAGTCATCCGCCTTCATTCCAACTTCTCTTCGCGGCCGGCGGCGTAGTTCTTGGCGTCAAGGTACCCGCGCTGGATGGTGCGAGCAGCCTCCGAGGTTACTGCCCCACGGCCAAGACATAGTGAATAATTACAGCTGCCTCCCTCAAAGGACGAACTCGCACTAGGAACAAGGAACCTTCCAATACTGTGGTTGGACGAGATCTTGCACCACCTAAGAGACCCTGGAATGATCATGCCCCTGTAAATACCAGCAAATAATGGTTTCCCAAGGTATCAAAGTGGTGCGAACGGATTTTGTCCATCCACAGTAGAGTACCACTTGGATCAAAATCGATTTCCCGCCTCTCGGTGCTTTTGAGATCTGGCGCGGCGCCGCTGCCTCTCCGCCTGAGCTTGACGTTGTTTTTCCTCCTTCGTTTGGGTCTCTCCCTGTTGTGGGAATCGGAGCTTCCAAAATGGTAGGGTTTTCCTTCTGAAACCAACCAACCAACCAGAAGATCCCGGAAAAAAAGAAAAAACAAACAACATCACGCCACCCATTTCACATGAAAATGGAAGGGGAGTGGGCACTTGCAACCTATTTTGTAGTAGGGGTACACTGTTAGCTAATTGTCGGAGAAACGTGCAACTCTGGGCTTTCTGATTCAGCTTGAGGCTATCGATGACCTCAGGGGATCGTTCCAAATTCATGATGGGTAGGGAGTAAGCCTGATCAAACCTTCCACATCGCATTACTGTAACTCTGTCCTCCATTTGCTGATACGTCCCTGGAAAAAAACAAGTAGTGACATCGATTCCCTTTAAAACCAACAGTGCAAAATGAAAAATGCTCTGAACCAAATGGAAGTTGTCTCAGATGCTCAGTGGCCATGGGAAAAACAGGGCACCCTTTTTTGGTTGGTTGACTTTAAAGGGACACCCTTCCCAAAAAAAAGAGAGGAAAAAAGGACACCACTGGGCAGCTGGGTTGTCCAACACGTGCCAAAACCTGGACCCAAAGCTTCCTTCGTGCCCAGCCTCAGGAGTGAAGCGTAGCCACTTCCTCCACCGCCGCTGGATCATGATGACCTGCCGGAGAGTTTCAGCTCAATCTCACGCCACAGATCCTCCACTGGCCTTGGCTAGTACTTTCTTGTTTTTTTTTGGGGGGGGGTCCGCGCAGTGGGAAGCTCATGCCATGTAAGCCTAAACAATTCGAGGAGTACACGGGTAGCACGACGCACATATGCCCGCCCGGACATGATAAGGCAAAGCTTTTGTGGCCTTGCGTTTTTTTTCTTCTTTTCGTTTTTTTCTCGATAAGCAAACCGCATCCTTTCGCAGGCCCCAAGTGCTATCCAGTTCGGTGCCGGATCGCGCCGAGCAGGCTTGGCGGCATACGTATATGTCCCCCCTTTTTTTTGCCCTGCAAGAAGGGTTCCCCAACTTACGAAGACCCGGTCGAGCGACGTCGCCTTGGCCAAGACTTGGAGCCTGCGGCTCCGCACCAGGAACATCCGTACCACTGCCTGGATCTTCACGCACATACTCGTGCGGTCCTAAGTCGCGGAGGTCGCTGATCGATCCGCTCCCATGGCTAAGACCAGCGGTTTGCCCCAAACCCAAATCAAGGGCGACTTGATCAAAGGGCAGGGGTTCTCAAAACTGTGCCTACAAATGTGTCGAGGATTCTTCGAATTCCCCATAGAGCAGTCCTTATGCCCTGAACCGTTTACATCTTTGGTTTCCTGGGACTTTGTCTCCAATTCCTTGTGCTTGGTTGGCACGGGACACCGCCCATTTGTTTGGAACACCTAGTTGGAGACACGCACCCATACAAATCACGGAAACAAAAAAGCAACAAATAACACGAGAGGCAACGGACAAAGCGAACTTTCAGCATGTGCTGAACTCCGTCCAGTTCAGAACCCTCAGGTGGAGATCCGAGCAAGATTCATGTGGAAAGAACTCGGGCCGGAAGCAATGGGATCTTGAGACCTGTGGGAGGTCATCTTGGGATGTCCAAACATTTGGGAGGGCAATCCTCCAGCCAGAAGTGCTCGGGGCAATGGCCGAATGCTCTTGATGTCGTTCTTTAAAATTTTTGCCGGGGAAGACAGGAAGCAGCCGTGCACGGCCATCGGTGTCCTTTTAGGGGAAATAGATGGCCCTGGTAGATGATTAAGCCAGCAGGCTTTTTTTTGACCAAAACAACCAAAAAGGACACCAATGTGCACGGCGCTTGAAGTGAAACTCGCATCGCACGGCGCTTGGTCGAAGGGGCAGATTGGTACTTTCGGCAGCGAAGACGATGACCCCGCCAAATGCGCTGGATCGTTGTGGCTGCCTGGCCACGCGCTCTCGAGAGAACTTCCTTCTAGGGGCTGATTCCTTGTCCATTCTTTTAAGCATCGTTCTTTTCCAAAACCAGCTGTTTCCCTGGGTTTTTTTTATGGTTTCCTGAACAGAAAGATCCCTGGAAAGGATGAGGAAGGTAGCACTAGATTCCTCACCAGCCCACCCCTAAACAAAAATCGAAAGAAAAGAAACCGCAAAACAGAGTCCCAGGTGAGTCATGCAGTCGGTCTCCACCTCTTATCTTAGCCCACCCCCAATTTTCGGGCCCAAAATGCACTTCCGGATCCAATTTTCGGGCCCAAAACTTGCATTTCCGGATCCATTTTTTTCAAAGGGTCGACACCTCGCCCCCAGTCGAAGCCTCCACCTTGTGCCTCCAGAAGGCCAGCACCTCGCGGCGGTCCAAACCCTCGGTGGTTTTTCCCCTGGTGAACGTCGAAGGTGGCACCAAAATGTGTTCCGCCCCCATGGGATCGGCATAGCTCAGGACCAAATTGGCCATTTCAGTGTTTGAACTAGGGAAAGCCCTCAGCTCATCTGGGTTGTGAGGCCAATGCACATTGACACGCAGGTTGTTTGCAGGTGCCACTGCGAAAAACGCGGAAAACGTTTGCTGGGTGGGAAAGTACGCAAGCCATGGCCACAAATCCTAGGGCATGGGAAGATGAACACAAAACAACCCTTCCCTACATGGACCGGCTGAAAATGTTCCGAAACCTACTGGACATCTAAACCCTTCGGTCGGGTCGTGCTGCTTCCCCATTTTGGAAACAATACCCATTTTGTTGGCTTGCTCGAATCGCCAAATTGATCGTGGCCCATCAAAATTACCAGCTTCCTCGCACTGAACTAACCTGGACCTCCACCTGCTGGACTGCTGCGTATCCGGAGCCACTCCCCGGATCTTCTGGTCAGAGCTCGCATGATATGTAGTGGATGCAAAATGTGCTACCAAAGTCAGCCACCAAGAATGTGTATGTATAGAATACATGTATGTATGTGTGCATGCATGGATGTATGCATCCATGCATGTATTTGCGTCTGTGTATTTGTGTGTTGGTGTGTCTCTCTAATGTGTGTTTGGGTGCTTGTAGTTCGTATATATATATATATATATTATGTATACATACATGTGCGACTGGCACCAAGTCAAAGTCTCTCAAGCTTGCCCAGCTTCTCTCAAAAGTCGGGACCAACATCTGAGCTCAAGCCTTCACCAAAACTCATCTCTACTCTTGGTATGGTAGCAAACAACTTTGTTTTTTGCAGACCCCCAGTAAAAAAAAACACAGAACCAAACAACCAAACAACCAAAAAACACGCCAAGAACAGTGAAGAACTGGTATGACACACCAAGAAACACCTGAGCCATGGCCAAGGCCCCCCACCCGCTTGCGGCAGAGCACTCCGCGGGTCAGCCTCGGCATCCGAGCAGCCAGATTGCTAGGGACAGTATCCCTTGGCTTGCCTTTATGGGATAAGGTCTCACACAAATGCAAGCAAATCCTCCGTTTGCGGATACGTCCACAGAAAAAAATGAGAAAACATATGTTCATCGATTCCCTTTGAATCGATTTTCTTTAAAACCAACTCTCAACCTTCATTTGCTTAAACGCCCCTTAAAACCAACAAGGAACATAAAAAGCAGATTCTCAAGCAAATGGATGTCAAGCAAAGGGAAGAAATCGAAGTTCCGCTGGCTTCGCTCAGTTGTCCTGCTTGTCTTTTTGACTCGGCCACCGGCGCTTGAATCTTCTGTGCCGCCTTAAAGCGCCTCAGCGACTTGCACATTACAAGCAAATGCTGTGTCGCCTTCCTGCACGAATTTCCTTAAACTGCCATTTGCTTAAAAGGCCCCTGGAACAAATAGAAACATATTTCCAGTGATCGATCCCGGGGTTGAGGTGGATCACAAGGCGTTGATTCAACCATTTCTGTGATATCCGGAATCTCCCCCGCAAAAAAAGATGGGGGGTAGTCTTTGGGGTTAGGCCCTTTCTGTAGAGAAGTGGATTCTTCCCACAGCCCGAGTTCGTTTCGACTCTTGGCTCCCGGACCTCCTGGCCTTTTCGAACTCTGAGCGCGCGCGTCTCCGGCGTCTGCCGGTCACCTCAATCAAGCGGTCATAATACGTGAACTTCGGCATCAGGACCGTAATCAGGGGTCGCCCTGCAAGGACATCATCTATTTCAGAGGTGTTCCCTAACTATTGGGGTGCCACGATTAGAGGGCCCATGTTTGCAATTTTGGGGCGATTGACATGGGCGGGCTCAGTTGCCCAAATTCTAAGACTCTTGCAGCCGTGCGCGCCAAATAGCCACGGAGGTTCCTTCGGGGATGTGCAGCTCAAGTGGCGCTGCGGTGTCAAAATGACGGACCGATCTTTGACAATGCATGTTCAAAGCGACAGGAATCAAAGCGATCAACGTGTCCTCTGAATGATTAAGGCAGCTGTTTCGCGTGCCCAGAGTCGCTCATACTCGGTTTCCCACCTGGCTGCAATTCACACACCGCTCAGTCGCACCCGCTACATCGTGCATGATCGATACCGACACACGGCAAACAAATCCATCAAGGATGCTTGGTTTCGATTCATCTGGCATGATAAGCTAACATAGTTGCGCGCCATCAGCAAACATCTGTGACTGAGGAAGCATGCTCTGCCGAGTTGTCTGCATCTGTTGGCACCGATTTCGGGCCGCTGGCCTGAGTCTGCCCAAGTAGCCGCGCCAACATCGCTGCACCTCGCGCCAGAGGCTTCTGAGACGTGATTTCTTGACACCGCCTTGTTTGAAAGCGAGAGGCAGCTGTGTGTGTGAGCAAACTGAAACATGTCCAGGGCAATTAATTCACACGCGGTGTTTTGCAGATCAACTAGGGTCCCAGCATGTTGCGGGCCCCGAAATTCCAAGGCTCACAAGTAGGGGCCCAAAATAAACCCTGGCAAATGGAAGAGTAGGCGAACACCTGCACAAAAGCGTTTTTCAGCCACACCCATCATTAAATGCCCAGTGGCCAGAGAAAAAAAGGGCATCCTTTGCTGGTTGGTTCACTTTAAAGGGACACCCTTCTCCAACAAAAGGAAGAAAGGGGCAACACTGGGCCACTGGGAATGCTAGGTCCTCCAGTAGAGAAGTTAGAATAAGCGTCCTTTGTTTTCTGTAGTCTATTTTAGTAGGGGAGCCCTCCCAACCAAAAAAGTTGGGAGAGAAGGGCACCAATTGCTGGGGGACCCACTGGGAATATCTTCGGGAAGTCCTCTTCAAGGCAAATCGCTGGGCCAACGATCGCCGTAACGCCGTCGCGCGCACCTCGACCGCTGCCCAAAGTTGCTCTTCGGCGCGGATGGCATCACGCCACATCCTCACGGAAGACCAGCGACTGCTCGCAACCGGCTGGTGACTAGTGACGGAAACTCTCCAAAGGCACTAACCCTATAGACTTTACCCTCCTGGCGGTTTTAAAGGGACACCAAAGTGAACACCACCATTTTGAGGGTACACATTCTTGTTTCCGGACAATGAAGAGCAATCCATATCCGGCGCAAGGCGCGCCTAAGCCTCACCAGGTATCCACGGGCGAAGCGCCTGGCGGCGAGGCGCAGATTTGGCCCGCCAAAAAAATCCATCCGCCAGGCTGCAATTCCAGCAGCTATCCAAGGTCTCGGTGTCAAACAAGTGGCCAGCCCAAAAAACGCCGCTAGCCCAAACGTTTGGAACAGCCCAAAAAGCGCCACCTCGGCCCTCGACATCGATTGGTCGAAAACTTGGCCGAAGGGGCTGCAGAGCGACCACAGAGCTCACGTGCTCCAGGAATTCCTGCCATCGCTTTGCGCTCGTTCTTTGCGCGCGGCGTGCGGTTGTGGTTCCCGGATTCCCGGGCTCCAGCCTTGCGCAGCGCCAAATACCGGCGGCGGTAGATGTGGCCCAGCCACATCCTGGGAAATAGCCATCGTCAATCTTTGGCAGGTTTGCAAACAGCGCTCTTTTTCTTTCAACTGCTTAAGCTCCGCGGAAAAAAAATACAAATACTTCCGACATTCATAGATACCCTTTAAAACTAAAAAGGTAAGATAAAAATACTACTACTACTAATAATAATAACAATCATAATAATAATAATAATAATAATAATAGAAACATATTCTTAAGCAAATGGAAGTTTTTTGAGGGTAATGGTGACAACTGATTCGTAAACCCCCCTACCCCCCCCCCCCCTCTCAAGGTCGACAAGGTTTGGACAAGTCCCCACAACTGTGATTTTTGGGAGGACCCCCCTGATTAATCTCGAGCCCCTTCGGTCCTCGTCCTCTTACTTCTGGCCCCTACTGGGCAGTAGGACTTTAAAAGGCAACAGCAGGTTTCTTGGTTTTGAGCCCAAAAGCGCCCTGATTAATCGTGGGGGGTTTTCTGTTAATGAGGGGGGGCTGGCCTCCAAGGGGGGTCCCCTTTGTGAGATTGAAAACCTTGTCATTTTCTAACAACTTTCAATAAAGGAAAATGCATTTTGGGGGAAGCACATGTTTGACGAAAACTTGAGGGGTTCAATAGTAACTTAGTATTGGTGGGCTTAAGCACAGATTAAGCAAATACTAAGCAAGAAGGAAGTCCATTTTCTGGCAGTTTTTTTTTGGCTCGGGGGCTGCAGAGGGATACCTTTAATCGGGGGGGGGGGGGTTTGGGGAGGGCACAAATTTAATTGGGTAGGGTTTTTTGGGAAAACCTTGTTGGCCCTTTACTTTAATATTGGTGAGAACCTGGGGGGAAAAGGGGAAACCTTTAATCGGGGGTGTACTAATCGTCTCCAGACATGGATTTAAAGGGAAACCAACAGACAAACCGCACTTGTTGGGTCCTCTTCTTGAAGACACACCCGTTTCAACGACTTGCAAAACGACTCAGCGCGTGGCTTTCGTATCGTGGTTGCAGCAGTGTGCTCGGCCTGCAAGGGCGGGGGGGGGGGGGGGGGGTAGGGGGCTGACGCCGAAGCTTACGCGGATACAAGCGGATGAACATGTCCAAGCATAGGTGTCCTTTTAGGGGAAATGGATGGCCCTGGTATATGATTAAACCACCAGGTAAACCAGGGCCATCTATTTTTCTAGCAAAACAACCACAAAGGACACCTATGGTCCAAAGTGCTTTTCAACTGCCTGAAATTCTCCGGTCAGCTGGGGAAAGAAGAGACGCTCGGAAAGTGACATACTGCACCTAAGCAATTAATCGGGGTTTGTCCGTTCGTCTACAAAACAAGAAGAACCCCCCCAAAATACATGGCCAGACCTGGGAATCAGGATTGTCTATAAACGAGATTGTCTGCACAAATAGAAGAACCCCCCCCAAAAAATATATATGCAAAAAACAACAAAAATGCTGTTCCAGCTTCAACTCCCCGCTAGGCCATGGCCAGAGTCACCGAGTCACCGATTTTCTTTCCGCTCGCTAAGCTTCGGGCACGGAGCCGTGCTTCCCGCAGCTTGGCGACCCGCTTCTTGGCAAGGTGGCGTCGCGCTAAGGCCTGGCCATTGGCATCGGTTTGTGTCGCCCAAGACAAGATGGTCTTGCCCAAGACACTAAGACATCAAGTTGCTAGGGTCGTCAAGCTGCTTGCTTGGCATCACCTTGCTTTTTTTTGCCCACACTAAGACATCAAGTTGCGGATCCGGGTCAGCCAAGTTGAGCGTCAAGAGGACGCCCCTCATGAAAGATCAACACTTTTTTTTTTCAGGGTCAGCCAAGTCAAGAGTATCAGGAAGCCCTCATCCCAAAACAACCAGGTCCCGGCTTTGCCAACTTTTGTCGCCCCAAAACCAGTCAGCTGACCATGTCAGCCTCTCGGACACGAAACAAATTCCAATGGCGAATCCTTAAGCCTTCAGAACATCGTGCCCGACGCCCCCCCCCCCCCCAGCCCTCTCGATCAGCCGTTTCCAATTTTGAAGCAATGCCCGTCAAGGCTGGTCTGCTAGCCTGTCAAAGCTGATCTCTGTGTTCGGACACACGAGCCAGCATACGCAAGACTAAGCCAAAGATCACATTAACAGCGGCCTGGATGTCATTCGACAACCAGCCAAGCAACAAAGCTCCCCGGAAACTTCGCAGGATTGGGTCGAGTGTGACCTCAGTGCTGGAGCATAGCTGCGGCAAATCATCACACGTGCAAAACCCACTCACACACACACAAACAGACAAACACACAAGCACACAACTACACACAAACACACCCCACACACAACCACACAAACACACAAACTCCCAGCCACGCACGCACGATTTCTCGGGCATCTTGATTGGTCCCTGGCCAAGCCGCTGTTCTCGAGGTTTCTTCTGGCATCGCGCATGCTGTACTGCAAGTCTGAGGCTCTCCAAAGCATATAGATGCCTGGGCTGCCCGTTTTCAGCTCCTCCGCGAAAAGTGACTATAACTTTAGTGGGTGAAATATGGAAACTACCGCTAAACACTAAAAGGATCTAAAAAGCTAAGGGGATGGCTGGGAGCCACCAAGATGCCAGGTGCATCTGGTGCAACTAGGCTGAAGTTCTTGTTCACGGGCCGGTTGCGACCGGGAACGCTGTCATAGAGCTCCGCCACGATGCTTGTATCAAGGACCAACATCAGCTGATGAATGCACGAGTCTCCTGCATTGCAAGTTCAATCCTCCCCTTGAGCAGTCATGCCTGTGTGGCCTCGCTGAGCCTGCACCCAACTGCACGAGTCCTACTGCGTGTGCCATTGATGTATCAACCTATAAGGCCCCTACTTCCATCGCAAGGGTCCGACTCGCAAACTGCATCCCAAAACTTGCCTTTGAAGCCTGGGCATGGGGAATTTCGACGGGATCCCCCGGATTTTTTGCTCTAAAGTGTGAGTTCACTCAAGTTGCAGGTGTTCCAAGCTTTTGGCGGATTCATGCCCGCTCGTTTTGTTCGTGGATTCACTAATGGGGTCACATCTTATAGGGAGCACCACCAACAATTCCTTCTGCCTGCCCTTCAAAGCCGTTCGACTCCAAAAACAAAGACGTTTTTTTTGCCCCTTGGTTTCCCCAGCCAGAAACTGGTTTCCCCGTCGGGCCCCCAAAAAACAAAAAGACACCCCACGCGAAGGAAATGGTCCGCAAGCAGCACCCGCACCCCCCCCAACTGCTTCTTCCCAGAGGATCCCCTTGGAGTTCAAACGAGGCAGTGGTTGGGACCCGAGTGCTAGAAGCAATCTACTTGCTGGTGTGATAGGAAGGGAATGAGAAATGGAATGAACCCAGAAATTCCCGAATAAAGGACACCAGCAGTTGGATGTCTTTTCTTGGGGGTCATTCAGACATTCACCCATTCTCATTCCCAGTCGCACCGATCGCAAGTGGCTCGTGCCTCGGTTGTTCTGAATCCATCCGCTGGCCGTGAGGTCCAACTTCTGGCCACAGCTTGCTCGGAGCGTGCCCGCTGGCCTCAGGTCCGAGAAGCTCCACTTCTCTTCCCATGCTTCGACCGGGCGGCCCAGAGTATGGTCCAAAGTGCGGTTAAGGATCCTTAGTACCACTGGGTGGACGTTGGAAGGGGAGCAGACCTTTTTTTCGCAGTTCAGTGGGGATTTCCCACTAAACCACAATAAGCAAAATGTAAAATGCTTCCCAACAACAACAATGACCAGGTGGATGGCCATCCCGTTTAACCCCCAAGCAACGGGGTCTTTCGACCACGGCACATATGGCTCTGAAGGTGGTGGATACAAGGCTAGCTCCTCCAGTGGAGAGGTTAGAATAAGGGTACCCTTTTTTCTGTAGTCTATTTTAGTAGGGGAACCCTCCCCCAAAAAAGAAACGGTAAAAGGGCACTACTGGGAGACCTAGAAGGTAATACAGGCACGCAAAACACCCTCTTTGAGTGGACCCCCTGCAGTCGGCGCCAAATCGCGGCTTAGCACTTAATTTGCGCAGCAGCTAAAAACCACCTGTACTGCCGATTTGCCATGCAGCCCCATTCCGCCGCAACCCCAACGCAGATAGCCAGCAACTGAAAGGCCACAAAAATAAATAAATCATGATGCACCAAACAAACAGGACGTGGATTTCAATTCCGGGGTGCTGGCCATCTTGGGAAATCTGCACGTGATGATTCCATCCTTCCAGTCTGTCTCGGCGGTCAACATTTGCCTCCCCAGCTTTCTTGAGGCGATCCCAAACTTCATTTTCATCCGCCAGCCACTCGGGTTGATCCTGCCAGCCCTTTGCTTCTCGCTCTTTCCCTAGTCAAAAGCAGAGAAGGATTGAGCACATGGGCAACCTGCAGTCTATGTCCCCTCTTCGGATAAGTGAATATGCAAGAACTAACAAAAGTACAACATGACAGCACAGAGCAAAGGCTTCTCTTTCTTGACTAGGTCCTCCAGCAGAGAGGTTAGAATAGGGGTACTGTTTTTCTGTAGTCTATTTAGTAGGATTGAACCCTCCCAACCAAAACAGAAACGGTCGTACCCTTTTTTTCTGTAGTCTATTTTAGTGGGGGAACCCTCCCCCAAGGGTAAAAGGGCACCAATTGGGCAGTGTTTTTTTGTTGGTGCTCGGGGCCTATACACTGCACACTACGCAACGCCTCCGCGACTGCAAGGGGTGCCTACGCGCGCACGTGTGTCTCTTGTCGCGCCTACGCGGACGCCTACGCAAGAAAATCGCGCGCCGCTTTCTTCCAGCTCGAGCTTTGCAATGCCAAGTCAATCGCTCTCTGACACAGATGCAGATGATGTAGAAGAAGAAGATGATGTGAAAGATGATTGCGCCGCCAAAGCGTGATACCATGTTTGATTTCCCAGGGATCCCCTTTGTCGTGGCTCTGAATCAGCATTTGAGCAGTGTTTGTTTGGTGGTTCGGGGCCTATACACCACTTGCGCGCCTACGCGAAGGCTTACGCAAGCCTACGCGGCCTGCAAGGGTGCCTACGCGATCACAAGTCAGCTTCCAGGTGCCTACCTACGCGGGCAAACGTTGAGTTCAAGTGTCGAAGTGCACTGTGGCAGCTCCAGCTGGAAAATCGCAACTTTTCAGTGCAAGTGCAGTTTTGGCAGCTCCGGCTCTAAGATCAGAAATGCAGTACAAGTGAGAATTCAACATCTGTCCAAGGATCTGGCTGCTAGAAAAGGTCTGCGCACCCACAATGCCTACGCAAATGCCTACGCGGAGCCTACGCGAAGACTGCAGAACAAACAGAAGGAAGGAAAAAGAAGCAAATTCCTTCATACCTGGCAAACAGTCATGACTTGTTCAACAAACGCCTACGCGAAAAGCCTACGCGAGGGGTGACACAACAGCCTACGCGCTGAAGCCTACGCGAGCCTACGCCCCCAACCAGGATTGGCTCCGCAAAGTACATGCAGTTCCCTTTTTGTATAAACTCTTTCATTTGATTAAAAAACGCTGCTCATTTGAACAGTGGACAATGTCCGCCAACCGCTTTGACAATTCTTAGCCATGTTGGTTCAAGAACCCTTTTCTCAGTGTGTCTGCAACAACTCAGCCAAACCCATGCCCATCCATATGCATTGTAAAACATAAAGCTTCAGACAATACATAACAACTCCATCAAGCGCCTACGCGCGCTCCTACGCAAGAAAAAATACAAGGATGTGCGCGAAATGCCTACGCGATGCCTCCGCGCGCCTACGCCCCCCAGCTAAATTGCCTACGCGGACATGATGCAGTTCCCTTTTTGTATAAATCCTTGATTCCAAGAAAAAAAGCTGCCCAATTGCTGCTCTTTCTTGATGTGTCCTGCGTCTCTTCAGTCTTGGTCGACGTTGGAAGGGGAGCAAGAATTCAAATTTTAGCAGGTAAGTGGGGATTTCAGCCACTAAACCACAAAAAGCTGGGGGCTTCAACCACTAAACCACAAAAGACAACAACTTGTAAAATGTTTCCCACCGACAATGACCAGTCCTGGCCGTGCTTGGCCCAGTAGTCCCGGAGATGCGCCCCGAAGTCGCCGTCGAAGCCCAGCTCGTCCGCCCAGTCCGGCGCGCCCGGACGCAGCAGCACCACCAGCTCGGCCTCGAGCTCCCGCAGCAACGTCCGGTCCTCGAGCATCGGAACGGAGGGTTTGGTTTCGGTAAAAGCCGCAATCACTATATATGAAGTCAAAAATGGTGGTTCACAGTAAGTACGTTCGAATTTAGAAAGTCCGCTTTCGTTTTCCAGTGTTTTGTCTCTAACACAAAAGTATCTTTTTTCAGAGTTCCCTATCGTCTCCCACCGTTTCAAGCACCTTGAGCTATGTGGACGTCCAAGTGTACACTTTGTTTTTACGAAAATTTCTGACCGTGCTTCATATGGCTGTGGGACCCTGGTAAATGGAAAGGGCGAACACCTGCGGTCGCAGTTTTTCATGTTTCTCTTCCACGGCAGCAGCCGCAATCTCTATATGGATGGCCCATGTTTGTCAAACATGCCCGAAATAAATGTTCTGACTGGTGAATGGAAAGGACGAACACCTGCGGTCCATATCCTTATGTCAAACTTGGCGAATTGAGCTTTGGCAACAGGCTCGCTTGAATACTTGAAGCATTGCAAAAAGAGCATGTTTCAATGCTACAAGCTTTCTCTTTGGAATCCGAGGCTCTTAAACCAATCTTGGCCCATGAGGGAAGATTGCCTCTTACGACATGCGTCATGATTCCCAAGCCAAAGGCAAGGTGTCCAAACCTTCAACACATCGCACTTAAGCAGCTTTTTTCCTGGCCCAAAATGACACCTCGGGTAAACCTAGGCAAGAAATGGGTCTCAAAATAGGGCCAACTGTTGGGTTTCAGTTTAGAAATCTCTCGCCTCACCAACCCATCCCAAGGGCACCCGGATCAACAAACGCACAAACAACCACAAAAAACCAAACAAAC